TGCGAGCTGAGGGGGGGGGGCTGCCCTCTCCTCCTGGCCATGGCCTCCGGCAAAGCTCCCTGTCTGGGGCTAAGCTCCACTCCCTGGGGGTGCCGAGGGATGAGGAAGGCTCTGTGTTAGGGGCACTGGGGCGCAGGCCTTGGACAGGCTGGAAGAAGCAGGATTCAAAGGCCGCTCTGCCTGCTGCGAGGCCTGGGTGCTCCCACCCCCTGCACTCCTGCGTCTGGGTTTGAATTCAGGCTCCACCTCTTACTGGCTGTGTGGACTTAGTCTCTTTTCATTCTGAGCCTCAGTTTCCTTGCCTGTGAAGTGGGGGTTAAGTGACGTTTCCCTTGGGGCTGCTCGTGAAGGGTGGAGATGGTAAGGAGAGAGAGGAGTGTGCTGGTCCCTGAGCTCAACGAAAGTTACTTTTGGTGGTGCCATTATTACTATAGCGGAGATGATCGTGTTCCTTTCCAGAGCAGATTTTGACCTCCTGAGACAAGGGTTTTGTGACCCACCTCTCCAGGACAAGGGCTCACACTGGTTGGGGACCTCGAAGGGCTGATGGTTCCTCCAGAGTCCTGGAAGGGACTCTAGGGCCTGTGCTGGGTGGAGGCATCGCTGCAGAGGGTCCTGGAGCACAGTGGTGCCCAGCCCCACCCAGGCGGGCCGTGCAGGGGTGTAGCCGGGCAGGTCCTTTCTAACCCCAGGCTGGCCAGCACAGCCCCTGCAGCCTTGGCCTAGCGGGCTTGAAGGAAAGGGAAGGTTGTGGGAGCAAGTGATGGGGAGGTGTCAGGCTGAGCTCAGGAGGGACCTACTTCAAGGTCACCCATTGCCCCCAGCGCCACCTCAAAGGAACCTGACCCAGCTCACCGGCATGATTAGAAGTTTATTACTTGTTTTATACTCAACCTCTTGCCGACAGAAAGATGTATAAAACTTACCACCTGTTCATAGTAGAATTTTAAAGTCAATGTGTAGCCCCCACTGCCCAGGGCAGGAAAGAGATGCCCTCTAGGGAAGCCCCCAGGTGCCTCCCTCACCGGACCCTTCCTGTCACAGCCGCCTCCCTGCCCCCCAGGGCTGACCACACTCCTCATTTCCCCTGGCTTTTCCGTAAAGTCTTACCATCTTTGTGTGCATGTCTAAGCTGTTGAATTTTGTCTTTGAAATTCATACAAACAGAATGGCGGCCTTTAATCTTCTGTGCCTAGCTTCTCTCAGTAAACATTGCACTGCCGAGTCACCCATGGTCCTGGGTGCAGTGGTGTTGAGTGGTTTTGTTCATTTTCATTGCTGTGGAATATTCCACGGCATGAATACCCATAACTTTTTCTCCAGCTTCCTGTTGGGCATTGGGATTATTTCCGGATTTGGGCCATTGCCAACAGAGCTGCTGTGAACATTCTTGTACTTCTGTCTTGGTTCACAGCATGCAAGGTTTTCTCGAGGGTAGACGCCTAGGAGCAGTCTTGCTGGGCATAGGGCTTGCATGTCTTTAACTTTAGTAGATGAGCCAGACCACTTTCCCCTGTGGCCGTGCCCACGTCCCCCTCGCCAGCCCTGCGTCGGAGGCCTGGCTGCTCTGCGTCTCACCAACACTTGGTGTCGTCCAGAGTCCTCATTTTTGGCAATCTTTGCAGACTGGCAACAGCGACAGCAGTCTGACTACTTTGCATTTCCCTGATCAGCAGGGGGTCAGGGTCTGTCTTGCCTTTCTTCCTCCTGGCTTTCCTCCTTCTTGGGGAGGCCCCCTTTCCCCCTGGTCTCCCTGCTCAGCCCCCTCATCATGCTGTTTTCCGACCTCCATTTTCCTCTCTGCCCTCCAGGCCTCTCTGTCCCTAGGCCCCATTCTCTTTCTTAGGGGACAGTCACTCATCTATGTTATTCCTTTTCCATCCATCTTGGAGCAGTAGTCCTGGGCTCCCATCTGGAGGTCTGAGATTTCCACTGGGTCTATGCTTCAGAACCTCTGGATTTGGGCCCTCCTTGCATCCCTTCCTGGGCCTTGGCTTTCCCTTCAATAAAATAAGGACAGAAGAAATGGCCCTCCACAGAAGTCCTTCTGTTTTCCAGGCAAAACCTGGCATATGTCCTGGAGAGGCACATGGAAGATTCTAGCTTTTGGTCAGGCAGAGTCAGCTTTCTCCTGGGGCCATTGGGAAAGGACAGAGCTGGTGGTCTGAAGCCTGCTGAGCTTCTTACAGGGAGACCTTTGTCAAGAGCCATTTCCTGGAACGGGACAGGCATGTAGATGCTAGGCATGGCCAGCACAAGTTTGCTGAGATGCTGATTGGAAGAGGTGTTTCTTTCTTCTCAGCCCCTCTGGTCCTCTCACACCTGTAAAGTGCTCACAGAATACAGTTTGATGACCAGAGCTCCAGCTCCTGGGCAGGGGTCCCCAAGCAGGGAAACCATGCAGAAAGCCTTCCTGGGGCAGTGACCGGGCCTCTCTGTGTGTCAGACTCCAGAACTAGGATCAAGCTCTTGGACAACTTAGCCCTTGATGGTGTAAATGTCAGGGTGGATGCAGCAGAAGACTTCCAAGGGCCGGCCAGTGGCTGTGTGATTTCAGGCAGGATTGACACAATGGCACACCAGGAAACGTGGTTCCCGGGAACGCACTGTCATGGCTTTGACCAGGCCCTGCAGTCTGAGGCACTGCCATGCCCACTGCTGAGGTGCCCATTTGGGGGAGGCCTGGGTGGGAGGGGGGGAGGAGGGAGCTGAGGACCCTGCCAGCCGGTGGCCAAGGGTATGGCCCCCATGGTACGCTTTGGCTCTTGAAGGCCCTGGGTATGTCCTGTAGCCTCTCCAGGCCCCACATTAACCCCTCAGTTACCAGCCAGAAGACTAGCTAACTTTCAGGGTCTCTTACAGCTGAAAAGTCAGAGACAGAGGAAGCAGTTGAAGGCTCCTCTTGTCCCCACCATGTGAAGCTTTGTTGAATTACTAGCACATGTTCTGATTTCTAATTTATATTTGCATCAAGATGATACACAAAAGCGGGGCAGGCTCAGAAGATTTTGAATTTTGGAAATTTATGGATATGTCACATACCCTTTTCAGTAGGGCCACCACTGCTCATCCAGTGCCTTGCTGTGAGTTAGAAAAAGACACCTCTTTATCAAGGCACTTTACTTCTATTCATCAGAGAAGGGCAATAAATGTGAAAATCTATAGTGTCTGCAGTGTAAATGATGTCTCTTTAATTATGATGCCTTGTGCAGTGCCCAACCTGAACAATCACACAAGGCGGCTGTGCTGGTCACTTACTGTCATTGTTTTCCAAACAGAGCTTAAATAAAACTTTTTCTCAACCAGAGGCCTTCCCATGTCTTCTAGACCAATGATTCTCGTATCAGAATTCCTGGGAGGTGGGGGGCTGTTCTGAATGTCACAGCCCTAGACATAGAGGCAGCTCTCTCCTTCCTCCCTCAACAGACACACACTGAACTATTGCAAATGGAAGGCCACCTTCCTCAGCTGTGATGGGAATAAAAATGGTCGAGAAGTTTTGCTTTGGGCTCTTGACCATGAGATCCACCCTGTCCCAGAAAGTCATTAAGATGCAGGTGCTAACTGCCTCCTTAACAGACTCTGTTCTGGTAAGAAGGGCTCTCTTGGAACATTTCCCAGCAAGGTGATACTTGAGCTGCTCTTCTAAGGGTCCTGCCCCAGCCTGTCCGCTGCCTCCTGCCCGCCCTGGAAAACTTCCGCAATGAAGGTCATCTGCCAGGTGGCACCTCATTCTGCCACCCAGCCTCAACCAGGCCTCTGGAGCTTCTTGCCCCAAAAGCTTTCAAAAAGAATATTTTCCCTCTTCTCGCACATCTTAACACATACACTAAGATCGTTATTAAAGAATAATATTAATAGCCCCCATTTGTTGAGTTCTTGCTTAGGGGCCAGATGATTTGAGATGCTTTTAGTATTTTATTGAATATGCTCAGTAACCTTGTGAGAAAGGCATTATTATTTCCCTTTTGCAGTTAAACGGAAGCTCAGGTCTAGTAATGCGTTGCGCGTGAAGTCTCGCAGCCGGTAGGCGGTGGAATTTAATGCAGGGCGGTTGTCCACTGTGCAGTACTGTGTTCTTCTGCTTCTAGCAGCAGAGAACGTCAGCCCCGATGCCTCCACTAGCCAGCTCGGTGGCCTCCATCCAGCTACTTAACCTCCCTGAGCCCCAGTCTTCTTAGGCATAAAATGAGGACAATAACATCTGCCTTGTTGCTCTATTTCAAAAGCTAAATGGCATGATGTGTGGCAGCACCTAGTACCGTGCCTGGTGCAAAGCAGCATGGAACTAAGAAATGTTAGTTCCCATCCCTTGTTTCTTCTCAACAAGACTGTCTATAATTTTGACATTTGGGGTTATAATTTTGATTTCTTCATTCATGCATGCTGCAAGCAGTCATGGAGCTCTTACTATGTGCCAGGTGCTGTGTTTGGCACTTTGTATTTCTTTACAGTCCCATAGGCCTGCTAGCTGAAGCACATCCTGCTATCTGGAGCACAGAAGGTTCCAGGAGCATTGACCCCACCTGATCCTAATGTGGCAGGGAGGTGGCATCTGCAGTCAGTGGGTGTAGCTCCAGAGCTGGTGAAGGGGCTCCGGAAGGGGACACTTATGGTTGGGGGGGGGCATGTCATCTGTGAACTGTCTTCCTGCCGGCCTATGTGCCAGTCACTGCTGGAGCCAGGAGCCTGAGTAGGGGGCCTTGGGTGCCTCTCCTGGGGGGCCTGGTGGGTGTGGGGATCAGTCTCCTGGTTTTGGTGGAGATGGCTCCTGGGACTACCAGCCTCAGGAGTCAGATAATGTCATTTCCTCTCTTCAAAAGCTCTTTAGAGTTCTGTTCCCTCCCCACACCGGCTCTCCGCCTTCTCAGCCTCCGGTCCTTCTGCCAAACCCCAACCTCACAGCCTGTTTGTTCCTCCATGCCTCTACTCAAGACTGTTTTCTCAGCCTGTGAGGGCTTTCCTGTTTCCCTCGCCATCTAGACTCTGCTTCCTTCCAGGCCCAGCGAGGATGATGCTCTCCTGTGGCGGGTCTCCAGCTGCCTAGTCAGACAGCTCTGCGGGTCTCCCCTGTGCCCGTCTCCGCCCAGGACCCCCTGCGGCCTGCCTGGTGTCACGGTGGGCATTCACTTCACAGCACAGCATCCCAGGTGAGAACTGCAGGAGGGCCTGGCCTGGCTGGTTTGAGCCTCTGACACTATGGACATGTCTGTCTCCTCCACATAAGGGGCACCCATGTCACCCGGTCTGTCTTACAGGGACGGAGGGCTGGCCCATCATAACTTTAAAGATGGCGTGTGGGCGGGCACAGGGAGAGGAAGAGTCTGCACCTGGTCTTACTATCTACCAGCAAAGGTGCTGAATTCTTTTTGCACTTCACTTAATTCCGACCAAACCCTTGGATAGGACATTTTTTTCAGATGAAGAGACCAAAGCTCAGAGGAATTAGAGTTAATATGACTGGGGCAAGTGGGAAGGGTGCCCATCTGAGGCCTCTCTTCAGAGAGACAATGTTTTGGTGGGGGACATTTTTGGGCTCAAAACCTAGGTTTGTTCACTCTGCCATCTTTGCCCCATTCCCCTTCTCTACCCATCTTGACATGGCACCACTGTTCCCACCCAGCACGTCTGAGGAGGCACAAACTCTGACTTCTTGGAACCCATGTCCTCGGAGGCCTCTAAAAGGAGGAGTGGGTAGTGTCGTGGCCCCATGAGGGACGCTACATGTGTGGCAGCCCCTGGGAGGGGGGGCAGGTGGGGCTGCATCTCGGGATCAGGGGCCCATCCCCTCCGGGACCTCTCTGCGGCCACAGGGGTGACTGGGATCTTGTCCCTGGGGCTGACGTTCTTTACTGGGCCAGTTCTAGCTTTGTTTCCTTTCCACTTGAAACCTGAGTCCCTTCCGTCAACCTTTTTCATTCCCGTGGTGCCAGTCGCCATGGAGCCTCTGTAGTCAGCTTTAGTGGAAGGACTGGACAGTGGTCAGTTACCTTGGGCCACTCCACTCCTGAAGCTGGAAAACTGGGGCCAAGGGTGGAGGAGCCAGCTACCTTGGGCAGAGCCTCAGGAACTGAGGACAGAATCCTGGTCTCCAGAACCCACTGGCTATGAGCCCTTTAGGTCAGGGGTCGGCTGTTCCAATAGGGAACAGTCACTCCTCGGTGCCCAGAACAGAACAGTGCCAGGTGCAAATGGGGGCTCAGTGGATTGTGTCCTGGGGGTCAGGTGCTAAGTCCGGTTGATTCTAAACCCCAAAGTTCTATCCACATTGGGGCTGGAATTTCTGATCTTGGTTTTTAGAGTTTGTACGTGGATTTTTAAGTTCCTACCAGGTCGTGGGCCTCCATGATTTCCCTGGGGAGGTGCCGCCCGTTGTTCTCACATAGGACATAAGAAGTGGTTGTTTGTCCATTTGCAGCTGTGGCCACCTCCCCTTGGGCAAGTGCCTAGGAGGTCCTGCACACAGACCCTGAGGGCCTGCCTGAGGGGTCAAACGTGTTGACACAGTCAGGAGCAGGCCCAAGAGGGGGTCTGCCTGCTGGGTTGCCCTGGCAAGCTAAGAAAAAGAAACCAAACAGATCCCTGTGCCTTGCTCCCTAGAAGATTCTAATTCAGTAGGGGCCAGAGGTGGGGCCTTGGAATCTGTCATTTTTATCAGTTCTCAGGTGATTCTGATCAGCAGCCACAGTTGAGAACAAGGGCTGTAGCTAAGTATCATTTCTCTGCATATAATTCGCATAGAAAGCCGATGCTCTGGTTAGATATGGTAGCAGGAGTCTATGGGGCCTGCAGCTCTCACTATCTACAAAGCCTGGACTCTAGCTTGTTTGCTTTAATTCAGCTGTGGATGGTGTGTCCCTGCCTGGAACATTCCTGCTGGGCTTTGCTGGCAGCTGCCTTGCCAATCTCTTGAGTCTCTTTGCCAGCTCACTGGGGTGAGGGGCGGGGTGTTGAGACCTGGGGAGTAGTCTTCCACCACCTTGCTCGGGAGAAGTACTGTGTTTCACCGACATTCCCTTGTGGCCAAATACTCATCCTAGTAGTCAGCACATAGGGAGTTGTGAGGAAAATTCTCCTCGGACAGAGAACCTGAGTGCTTGAGGACATAAGCAGAGAGATCGGGCAAAGGCTGGGCTGGAACCTCTGTTGGGGCTAGAGGTGTTGCTAGGAGCTGCTCTGCCTTCTGGGGCTGGGGTGGGGATGGTGGCAGGCTGGCTTCCAGACGGAAGGCAGGTTTTCTCAGTGTCTGAGTTGGGATTTGCTGCTCAGCAAAAGGAAGTTGGCACTGCATCTTGCCCTGTCCCCAGATGATACCTCAAGGGAGCTACTCCAGAGTAGAGATTGGGAGATGTGGCCTTTACCCCTGATTTTGTCACTGATTGGCTCTGGCCATCCACTTCCCATCTGTCAGGGTGAAAATGGGTCACCTTTGTCTCAACAAAGACTATAAAACCGTGTGAAGTTGTAGAGTCTGTGGTGAGACCCTTGTCACATGGAAAGAGAATGAAGTTAGGTCCCGAGCAAGAGCAGATGACTGATCCCAGAGGTTTAAGGGGGATCAAGAAGAGGCTTGACGTGATCAAGCAGTTGGCCACAGGATGATGAAATGACTCTCTGACAGGGTCAGAAGTGTATGGCTTGGTCGGCATGTGGGCCAAGAACTTCATGCAGATAGAGCCTGGCACATCCGAGAGAAAACTAGAGAGCTGGTTTCTGGGGAGAGACCCTGCCACATACCCGAGTGATAAGCAGAGTCACAAAGCTCGACATTCGTCAGGAGCTTCCGGGGCAGCGGGCAGAGGAAATGGGATTTTGAAGAAAATAGAAACTAAAGGAGAAAGAAGGTGTCAGACTCTGCCTTGATCAGTTCCACCTTCCCTGGAGACCCTAAGGTGTCCTTGTCAAAGCCACAGGTGAAGCCAGCTTAGTGGGCTTGGTGACACTCTTCATCTATAGCTCTGCTCACAGGGGTACAGCCTTGACACCTGCAAAACTTCGAGCGACTCGGAGAGGCAGGGTGTCAGAAAAGAGGTGTCCTTTGATCCAGCAGCAGATTTCTTCACTCCAAGAATACTTGGGCTCCTGAAGGCTTCCTGCAAAGTCATTTAAAAAGTGTTTGTTAGTTATACTGACGTCGCTCTGCCGCTCCCTACCGTAGGACCCTGGATGTTATAGGCTGCCGCCTTCTGGATCCCCAAGGACTGTGCTCACGGCCCGGAAGTAGCTGCTGCCTCTGGACAACCTCCCAGGCACCTTCTCCACCCAGGCATGAGCACCCGTGATGCTATCCCCCCAGGTAAGGGGCTGCACTCAGCCTGGGAGATGGACAGGCAGGTGGCCATGCCTTTCCGCCCTGGCCCAGTTCCCTGCTGGCTGACGCTGGCCCTCCATGCTCAGCTTGCTCTCTGGCAGCTCCCGGGCCCAGGGAAAGGCTCAGAGTGTTCAAGACAGTCGGCTGAGCTTTACCTCCATTCTCTGTGCCGGTGGGCCGGCTGAGGAGCTGGCCTGTTTTGTGGTCAGAGGACATGGGGCTTGGCCCTCAGGGACAGCTGGGTATCTCCGTCTCTTCAGTGGGCAGACCAGGAGAAGGGGGGAACAGTGTGGCCAGCTCAGGGTCAGGAGATGGGCTTCCAGGCCTGATGCTCTTCCTCTGGGAGACAGCTGTGTGAACCTCCGTTTCCTCTGGAGAGTGAGGGGATCCACAGGTCCTGCCACAGATGGAAGGGGTGCTGAATGGTGGAGAGCTGCTTTTCCCTGGTGAGGTTGGAGCCGAGGCCCTGGGATGACAGAGTAGCTCAGGACACATGTCATTACCTAGGGGCAGAGCACCCTGGGGCTTTGATATATTAATGTGAGGACAACTGCATAATTTAATGCCACATCAGATCCTGCTGGACATTAGATTCTAATAGGGAAGTGAGAAGTACTGAAAGCTTAAGAAAAACCTAGAAATCTAGAAATAGAATGAAGGTGTGACCATATGAACCCTTAATCCTGTCCAACTCCTTTGTTTTACTGATCTGGGGACCGAGACTCAGAGAGGCTAACTTATTTCCCCAAGGTCATACAGCTGACAGAAACAGGAGGAGAATAGACTCCTGATTCCTGGTCTGGAGGCCTTCCACCCTGGGAGTGGGTATGCTGGGTTGCCCCTTGGTGGAGCCTTCTCTAGGTGGTGGGTTAGGACCCCATGGATAGTCCTGAGGTGGCCTCAGATGGGGAGCCATGGGGGTGTCGGACCAATGATTCAGCTTGCTAACATTCAAGTGCCTCCTGAGCATGGGTCCTGCAAAGACAAATAGGATAAGGTCCCTCTGCCAGGATGTGACAGGGCGGGTGGGGAGAGGCAAGGATTGGGGAGGGTAAGATAGGGTATGCCTGGGCTGCTGCAGGGGCACAGAGGAGAGGCAAGGCTTCTCAAAGTAGTGGGTGCTTAGCCGAGGCTCCCTCTCTCCCCTCCCAGGGAGTCCTGACTCTCAGCTCAGGGCCCCTCCCCCTGGGCTCCCCGCCCGCTGGGCTCCTGGGCCCCACACTGTCACTGCTGGTTACTCATGGTCTCTCCCAGCAGCCTTCAGGTCTCACCAGGGACTGGGGGACAGAGTCCCTGACAGGCAGCATTTGTTAAATATCCACGGTAGGGATCAATCAAATCAATTTGCTGAGCCGGGGAGGTTTAGGAGAAGATGAAGGGTCAGTGTGGGACATGCTGATGAGGGGCTGGAGGACTCCCAGGAGAGGGTTGTTGGGCAGGTAATTGGATGCTCCGCTCTGCCACCATGGGGAGAAGTCAGGGCCAAAGCCACAGGTCAAGGGGTTACCGCATGAGGGTGATAATTACAGGCATGGCAGTGAGGAGTAGCCCATGAGATGTGCAGAGGACAGAGGCAGGGTGGGGGTGTGTGTGGAGGAGGGGAGCCCATGAAGGAGGCTAAGAAGGTGTGGAGTAGCTGGGTGTGGGTGGAGGGACTGGAGCAAAGCCGGATGGAGAAGGCATGCGAGTGTGAGGAGAAGTGGGGGAGCCAGGCCGAGAGGACTGGGAAGAGGGGGGTGGTGGGATTTGGTGGGGATCATGGTACCCTGGCCTGCTGGGTGTGGGGTGGCGGGCCCCCCATCTGTGGGCCAGGCTCTGGTTTGGGGGTGGGCTACAGAGACCCCAAGGGTGAGAGTGCTGGGACAGCCTGTTCTCCCGTCCTGGTCTCAGTGGACTTCCCGTGTCTCTGTCCCCAGCCAAGGTTCTGGCTCCCATGGCCGTGTACTGTGGGAGTGTCCCTCGGACCAGTGCTGGGCCCCGCGCACTCCCGGGCGGAAGAAGTGACTCCAGGCTCCAGACTTACAGAGAAGGTGAGGTTGGTGGGACTTGGCCTCTTTCAAGCTACTCCCCTTACAGGCCTGTGGCCAGCACCCAGGTCAGCTTTCGCTGGGCCTGGTGCTGCCCAAGATCTGTGACCTCTTCTGTGGGTCTTGTGGCTTAGGTCAAGGCCCTCCAAAAAGGCTATGTGTGTGGCAGATATTCTAAAAGCTGGTCTCTGTATTTGTTTTCCCTGGCCCTTCCATGGTCTAGGCTCCTTCAAGGCCCAGTTCAAGCATCACCACTTTATGAAGGCTTTCCAGATCCTTCTCTTCCTCCTCTATGTGCACAAAGCATTCTGTTGTTGTCTCTCCACTGCCTGGACTGTTTGGCACATAGGAGATGCTCTCTGACTGTTTACTGAATGAGTGGTTGGACAAGCTGGTGTCTGCATGGAAGCATGATTGGTTCTGAGTCACCTGAACTCTTCAATCTGCATTTGGTGTTGTCAGGTGTATTGAATGGATTGCTTGGGATCCTGGAGACTGCTGGATGGTGGTCCCTGGACAGAAGACCTTCCCTAAGTATTTATGGCCTCATGTCTGTGCTGTCACTGGGCTGCATATCGACTCCCCTTTTCTTCCCTTGAGTAACTCATGACACATCTTAAGGTTAGGCTTCCCAGATACTGTTGAATGAATGAATTGACCCAAGGAGCGATGGTAACATCGAATGATCGGGATTCATGGGGCAAAGCCGGACTGTTCTAAGGAAGCAGCCCCGAAGAGTTCACTGGTGCCTGGTGCCACCATGGGTTCTGTGTGCCTAGCCACTCTTGCCTCTGTCTCCCTCAGCCTCCCTCCAGCCAACTCCGAGTGTCCTGCTGGAGAAGCCGCTGCAGCTCTTGAGTGGACATGGGCACCCCAGCGGCCTCAAGTTGGATGCCCCCCTGAAGGGCTGGCAGGCCAGGAATGGCCACCCCGGGAGCCTTGCGGCCGTGTCTCTGGGGTCCAAACCCCTGGCACCCTTCTCCTCTCTGGAGTCTGAGGCCAACAGTGTGGCCCGGGACACCACCCAGATCAAGGACAAGCTCAAGAAAAGGAGGCTCTCGGAGGGCTTGGCAGCATCCTCCCAAGGTGAGCGCTGGGCCCTGCCCACCTGCCTTCCACCCACCCTGAGGCCAGGGACTCAGGCTACTTGGCTGTGAGGATCAGTAGGTGTCCGGCTGGCAGCCGGGTTCTCTGCAAGCTGGTCAGGACGCATCCACCCAGGGCACTGTCAACGCCCTCCCTGGGAATGCACTTCCTGCCTGGGGTCTGTAGTGGCCTCCCAGCTAACCTCCCCATTCCCACCCCTGCCTCCTTCTCCTCCTTCTAGTCTTCTCTCCAGGGAGATCCTTCCAAATTGCCAATCTGATCATATTCTCCCTCCCGCTCCCACCAATGATGCTTAGAACCACCCCGTAGTTTTTGGATGTGCTTAGAGTAAGCTCCCGAACAGTCCCTGTGCATGAGGCCGACTGCCCTCACCCTGTGCCTGCACCACACTCTCCCCTGCTCTCCTCTGCTGTCAGATACACTGACCCTCCAGTCCTGGAGCAGGTGGGCTCTCTCTGGCCTCAGACTCTGACGGGCTGCTCCCCCCACCTCCCTCCTTTCCTCACGGGGCTACCACTCATCCTTCCTGCTTGGCTCAGAAGCCTTCCTCAGAGAGGCCTCCTCCACTCCCCAGTCGGCATCCATCCCAGTGACACTCTCTAATAATGCCCTCCAGTTTTCTCTCTTACCTCTCTTCATAGAGCTGTGTACTTACACATCTGTGTACTTACTTGTGTGATTATTTGTTTCACATGTGAATTTTGCACTTGGCGGTATTCTCGACGAGGGCAGGCGTGGAGTCCTCAGTGCGAGGCAGAGTTGCCTGGCAAGGGAGATTTTCCAGAAATGTTTGTTGAATAGATGAGCAAAGAATTGACAGCGAGCACTTTATATTTCTCTCTCATCTGCACGGTGGGCAAACCAGAAAAACAGGCCAGGTTCCAATCTTAGCCCTGATACTGGCTGGCTCTGGGACTTTGAGCAAGTCAGTCACCCCTTCAACCTCAGTTTCCCCTCAGTGTAATGGGGATGCTAATACTTCTGTGTGCCTGAGAGTTTGATGAAAACATCGTACACAGAATTCTCAGCACCCGGCATTGTGGGTAGAACTTAATAAATTTTCATTTCCTTTTCTCTCTCCTCTTCTCCTGGACCAATCACTGGGTCCTTTTTTAGCTCAGTGAATGCTTGAGTAACACAAGGAATAAGAAGCCTCGAAGTCTTAGGAAGGAAGGGGACATCCTCTTCACTGAGCAAGATGCTCCCCCTGCTGAGGTCTCCCTGGGGCTGACGGTGCCCAGGATGATGCAGGGGAACCCCTGTAAGGAGTCCCCCTGTGGCTGGACAGTATGGACACAGCAGGTGGGGGTTGGAGTGCTGGAGAAGCTTGCTTAGAATTTCCAAGTGGTGCAACTTCTGGAGTTGCCAGACCAGTGACTCCCTCCCCGAGAGGTCTGAACTCTTTTTCTAGACATGTCCTCTCTTTGTACAAAGTTCTAGTACAGGAGAAAAAGAACAGGGAGTTGTTCTACACAAGGTACGAATGGGACGTGATCTTAACTTATCAGGTCCCTCAGCAAGTATGGCGGGATGGGGATCTCTGGTCCCCTGAGCAGGGCTGGGCCTGCCCTCTGCACCCTGGATGGAGGCTGTGTTGGCCTCTCTGTACCACCTCCCAAATGGAGCCCAAGGTGGGTACCGTCTCCACCTGGCTTGTGACCCCTTCTTGCCTCCCTCCCCTCAGCACACCGACAGGATTCACGACCGGGCAAAGCAGAGCCAGGCTGGGCAGAGGAGCAGAGAAGCTGTTTTGACTTGGCTGTTTTGATGCGACCACTTTGATGTAGCTGGAACAAAATGGCCTTTGAGAGTTAAATGCTAGGTTTTTTTCACCACCGCCAGTAGTTGCAAAGAGAATCCTGAGCTCTTTACTGTGGGGATGGCAGGGGGCATGTTGCTGTTCCCAGTGGGGTGGGGCGGGGGGCAGGAGGATGCCCGTTGGGCACAGAATTTACTCAGAAGAGCTGAAAGTGGGAGTGGTCTGCTTTCAGACGAGGTCAGGGTGTCCCCTGTGTCGAAACAGCAGTACCCCCACATCATTAGCTGAAGAGGAAGGGGGCACAGAAGTAATTTATGGGCACCTGCCACGTGCCTGGGACTTTCTCGGCATTTTACATAAGTCACTGAATCTTTGGATAACCCCATGATGTACCTACGTTCAGTTTACAGATGAGCGAATGGGGATTCAGAGACTTGCCCAAGGTCCCACAGCTTCTAGCCAGGACTGGAGCCCGCTGTCCTGACTCCTAGTCTAGTACTGGTGTGTTTCCCTTCCTGCCCAGCCTGCCTCCCAATTTTAAATGGGTGACTTTGGCCCTTTTTACCAAAGTTTATAGGAATGGGCATGGTCCGCTTGCTCAGCCTAGTGGTGGGGGTGGGCCGGGGTGGATCTCCTTTTGCTCTCACAGTCTCAGCCTCCCCTGGAACCGATGGCCCTGTTGCCAGTATCTGAATTGCCCCCCTCCCCGTGCTCCAGGGACTAACTTATTCCTCACCTCCACCTCCTGCACAGTCTCCCTGGATCCTGTGGGAGGCCCCAGAGGAGTTCCTCTGAGGAGCACCATCCCCCGGGCCACTTCTCAGAGGCTGCTGAGGGCGCCCAGGCCAATGCCTCCCATCCAGAGCATCCCCACTACCCCTGAGGCTGGCGGAGCCAAGGAGAAGGGCCTAGACCCACCTGGGAGCAGTCAGGGTCCCCAGGAATTGAGACCCGGAGCCCAGGAGGTAAGGTGGCTTGACTGCTCTGAGTTTTGCCCCCCCTCTGTCTTTGTTTCCACTCTTTTTTTTTTTTTTTAAGATTTTATTTATTTATTTGAGAGAGAGAGTGCATGAGCTGGGGGAGAGGCAGAGGGAGAGGGAGAAGCAGACTCCCCACTGAGCAAGGAGCCCAATGCAGGACTGGATCCCAGGACCCTGGGATCATGACCTGAGCCGAAGGCAGACGCTTAACCAACTGAGCCACCCAGGTGTCCCTCTTTGTTTCCATTCTTTACCACCACCACCGCCACCCCCCCCCCCCCCCCCCCCCCCGCTCCATTCCTGAGCCCTGAGCTTCTCCGGAGGTGTGTGAAGGGCCGCCCTCAAGGATAGGGGTGGCACTGGGAGGGGCATCTTCTCCACAGCATCCAAAACCTTTGCAGCTGGCCTGGGATCCAGCTGGCTGCCCCAGAGGTGCTGAGCACAGGCTGTGTGACCACCAGCCCTACACTTGGGGATCCCTAGGCCTTCTCTGGTCTAAACGTTCCAGAGTTCCTCATGCTTCTGACCGTCCCCATTACAGGCAAGGGCGTGCGGCAGAGGGGAAAGGTGGCTGGGCTGAAACTCAGGAGATTTGGGCTCTGGTTTCCACTCTGCCCCTCACTGGTTGTGTGACCTTGGGCCAGTCACCCTCCTCTCTGGGCCTAGTTTGCACATCTATAAAAAGAAGGTATTAGACCAGATGTTTTTGAAGATCCCTTTCAGCTCTGATGTTGTAGGAGTTTCTGAAATGAGAATAGCAAAACAAATAATAATAACAGAAAGAGAGTAGGGATGAGGGGGGACCCAGCAGTAGGTCTTCTGTCTTGGAGTGGTAAGGAAACAATGAGCTTTCTGGGGGGGGTCCCAGGGTGGTGTGGCTGGGAAGAAAAACCCAGGACACTTCCCAGCACTGCCTACCAGCCCAGGTGGCTCCTGATAAAAGGGACCACCCTGTGTGAGGGGCCTGGGAGGTGAGCCTCCAGAACCTTCCTTCAACCTCCGCTCCCAGGTGCAGATCTCCAGACAATACCTGCACTGCAATGACGAGAAGATGCACAAGTCGCTGGGGGGCGTTGTGATCCCGCCCATCCCGAAGGCTGCGGTGTCTGCTGGGGCCTCCTCCTGTACGCCTGGCTCCCTTCCCAGCCACTTACCTCCAGGCCAGGGTGTCCTCATGGGCCTGAGGGTCCCCCGCACACGGTAAGCAGCCCTCTTTCCATCTAGCCCACCCAGTGCCAGGGTGGAGCTCTGGGGGCCTGGGCACGTGAAGGGCCTGGCTCACCCATGAGCCACAGACCTGGGGACCGCACAGTGCTGATCCTTGAGCCCAGCGGGATGGGCGTCTGGGCTTAGTAGACAGTGTCTCAGCCTCCATAGTCCACCAGCTTGCTGATGTCTATGGTTGTCGCAGTGATGAATAAAATAGGAGCTCTATTCACGGTAGCTCTTTGTTATTATGTATTTTAATTAATGGATACTAAAAATAGAAGCATTATCTGGTATCTATATGGAAGTGGGAGGGAGTGGTCCACAAAAGTTTTGGACATAAAAAGGGGTCTTTATACACAAAAATGTTTGGGAATCAGGGGGGTAGAGGGTTGCTGTGTTGTAATGAATCTGGATTTATGGCTCGCAAGTGGGACAGACGGAACTCTTCAGATGTCCCAGAACATCCCCATGGTCAGTCCAAACTGATGTCGGAGCAGGTGTGTGTGTGTGAGAGAGACAGAGAGACAGAGACAGACAGACAGAGGGAGAATGAGAGAGGCCTCACTTCTCGCATCCCTTTGGGGCCTGCTGTACTGACTTCTGCCATTTCTCTCATGTTCCTCACCTCTCCATCTCCCATGCTGCCTCCCCTCCCGTCTGTACACACGTCCACCTCCTCCCCAGCCCCGGCGGAGTGTGGGCCTGCTCCTGGATCTGAGTGCCCGCTCCGTCGACCTCTGCTTCCTCACGCCGGGCCCCTCCCCTCAGCGGTGGTCCTGGTGGCTGGAGGGACTCTCTAGCCCCAGACCAGTAGCCTTTACTCCGCCCTCATTGCTCTCGACTTCACATCCTGGGAGGTATTGATGTCCACGTCTTTCTCCTTCCTTGCCCTCCTGACTTGAAACCTGCTTCTTGACCTCCTGTGGCAGGACCTTCTAGGCAGTGTCCCCTGTGCCCTCCTTAGTCCATCTCTTAGATGTGGCCGTTCCTGCAATTTGGTCCCGGCCCTTTGTGCCCAGCTCCTTGTTCTCCCCTGGGGGAGTCCTGTCTGCACTGGCAGCTTCCAGGGATGGGTGGCTTCCTCATTCCCTCATCCCCTGCTCTGCCCCAGGTCTCCCTAGAGTCGGGCTCCACGTTTCCATCCTCCTGGTGGGCATCCCTGGTGTCCTCATGGCCGACGCCGATCCGGCGTCAGGGGGAGAGAGAGGGAGGCTGTGCCACCATCAGGGCCACGCTGATGGGCCACCTCACGTTCCCCCAAACCACCTCCCTCCCATGACCTCCCGACTCCCACCAGAGTGCAGGCATTCTCTTCCATCTTCCAATTTCGGCATCATCTTTGGCTCTTGCTCCCGTGGCCCCCTGTCCTAGCAGATTGCCACATCCCATCAGGTCTTCCGTAAACAAGAGAAAATACGAAGGCTGCCACCCTCTCTTGCCCCTGCCTCTCTTCTCCGTTTCCACTCACGGGCTCCCTCTTGAGCGCCCCGACAGCTCCCAGCCCAGCACCTTGCCGCCTGGGCTCTGCATTCTAATCTTCCCTTCTTGTGTACCACCCTGTGTACCTTTCCTCCACGTGATTCACATTTTTTGACATCCTGTGTCAGCAGCTTAAAGAGAGTCTCCTCGGTCTGACCTTCAGGACCTGTCCCAGCCCACCACTCCCAGGCCTCCTGTGCTGCCCTCAGGAGCCGGCCCACCTCCAGAGCCTCCCCGCCCCATCCCTGCAGCCCCAACACCAGCCTTCACCCGGGGGCCCCCGTTCAGCTCCTACTGTTCTTCAAGCCCCAGTCGCACACCAGTCCTTGCGCCCAGGTCTTCCCTGCCCTCCCTGGGGAGGCAATCAGGGGAAGAGCCTCCTCTGCACTGTCCACACAGCATCTAGCCCACAGACCCCCTGACCACACTTTTATTTAAACCACCTCTCTATTCTTCAGTGGGGAGCTCTGCCGGGCAGAGGCCATAACTTGAAATCTCTGCCCATCCTTCTGGGGAGCCCCCCGGGAAATGATCTCAATCAGGCTGGGAGGCCTTCTTGGAGGAGGTGAGGCCGGAGCTGAGTTTTGAAGCCTGAGGGAGAATTTGGGAGGTGAGGAGGGAGAGACGTGAGGCATTCCCGGAGCCGCAAGGGGCATGCACAGCAGCTCTGGTGTTGGTGTGAGACAGGCGGGTGAGGTTGGCAGGACTGCACGGCGCCGTGTGCTAAACCGAGGGCCGTGAGCTTTACTCTGAAGCAGCAAGGTGCCACTGAAGGCCGTTAGGTGTGGAAGTGCCGTCAGATCTGCGTTAGAAAGGCCGCTTTGGTGACCAGAGAGGGCTGAGCACGCTGAGGCGGAGACTCCTGCAGGATCGGTGGGGAGAAGCCGTGGGCCCCTGAGCGGGGCAGCGGCGGTGGTCTGCGGCGTCTGTGTCTGGACCCAGCCTGGCCTGGTCTGGTCTCCGGTCGGCCTGCCCTTGACTTTGCGGATAGAGCTGCATCTCCTGCAGCTTTGAGCTCCTAGCCAAGAGCCTCTTTACAGAGCCGGCCCCACCCCCTTCGTAGGTCCCCCCGTCTCGCCCATTGCCCCATCCCGGAGCCCCCCAGGCTCCTCACTGAAGTGGCTCCTACTTGCCATCTCTCATGGTGCTTTTTTCTCCCCGATTCTTTCAAGATTGGTTCGGGAGAGTGGGCCTCGGGAGAAGACCCCTAAATCTCTGGGTATGTACTCCCCACATGCACCCCCACTTGCTGTTAATTCAACTCCCTGCCTCCTGGGCCGGGTAGGGGATCAGAAGTAGGGTTGGAGTAGGCATGAGCACCCTCGGACCCGAGCCCCTCATTTTACGGACAGGGGAACTGAGGCCTCGGGCCGTGCCACCTTGGAGGGTAGTACCAGCACATGGAGCTTCCCAGTAGCCCAGCTGCGAGGGGAGCCTGTGTGACCCGTGACCGGCTGCACTGGGACTGCAGGCCGGGGTCTTGTCCCTGGTCCCAGAGCCTGGAAGGCAGCCTGCAACATGTGCGTGAGGGTCTGCGGGGCTCCAGAGACCTTGCTTCTGACACCTTGGGCGGCTGCTACTGCACTGTTTTAAGCAAGTAGAAGTGAATATTCCACACCAGGCCGAGTGAGAAATTGAACCACATCCCATGAACCCCTCAGTTAGCGGGTCCCGGAAGGCTTAGTGTTGGGAATAGGGCCATCTGGGTTGTTAGGGAGGCGGGTGGCCTGCAGGAAGCCGGGGTACAGAGAGGCTTCAGAAGAGGGAGCTGGAAGCTCTCCAGCCTGATGACCTAAGTCTGTGGGGAGGAGGGAGGCTGAGCCACAGGCAGGTTGGGTGAGGGATCTGGACGGAGCACCCCGAGCCTGGGGAGGAGGTTTGGAAGTAGCTGCTGTGCCCTCGGCAGGAGGGGGCAGACTGCTAGTCCAGCTTTCCGGCAGGTCACTCTGGACAGCTTAGCAAGTGGGTCGATTGGCAAGCAGGGGGCTGTTGCCCAGGAAGCCCCAGGCTCTGGACTCGAGCTGAGCCCAAGAGGCAGGCCTGGCATAGAAACCTCGGTGGGGGCTGCTTCTCCTGGTGCAGTGGGGTGACCTCGGGTGGTCGGCTGTGGCCCACGCTGGCACCCACGGTGTCCCTTAACAGCTACCCCTGAGTGTGCCGGCATGAGGGTTTGGGCCAGGAGACCCCAGTTTGCGACTATTCCCCTGTTTGCATCCCCAGCTTGCTGCTTGAGAACCAGGTCCCCGGGGGCTTGGGGGCCAGGCTGCTCAGACAAGACTTTCTAGGATGTCTCTTGGAGGTGGAGGTGAGGAAGGAGATACAAAATAGTAAAGTCCTTAAAGGGCCCTCTGACCCTCCAGCCGTTAGCTGGGGATAATATTGCCCAATACGTGTAATGTGCCTACCGCATAGAAGGAACCCACGTGGTATTGTCTGAAGCTGAGGGCTTCCCCAAATCTTGTGGCATTCCTGCAGTCCTTGCCCTCATTAGCTGGCACCTGAACATCTGTGTCCTCTGCCCTGCCCCCTTACTTTTGGGCAAATGAAGCCTTTGCCCTTCCTCTATCTTGGCCCTCGATCCTTCTCCTGGGATCCAAGCAGGGGGATCCTTGGCAGAAGGCATGGGCTGGGCAGAGGTCCAGGGTAACCTGGGAGCCCTCCTGGAGGCCCCCGATTCAAGGCACCCCTTCCAGCCTCAGGCAGCCCCAGAGGGTGGCCCCCATTCCAGTGGACCCCTTACTTGCAGGTTTACCCAAGGGCCGTGTACTCCAAACATTGATGACGGGAGACCCCAGTTAACATCTCTTTCATTGAAAGAAAACGATCTACCCCTGCCCTGCCTCCATGATAAGGCATGTTACTTTTGAAATCTATTGACTAGGAAAATCTAGAATGACCAGGAAATACTGTTGATTTGCTATCATTTGGAAGTGAATTTGTACTGTATCAATCACAAGAGCCTGTGAAGGTTGCTGGGTCTCAGCTTTCTTGTCCGTACAACGAGGGGATGGGACTAGCACTGGTTAGTTCTCTCGTCCCTTCACGCTGTGTGATGATGGGACTCAGTTTCTTTTCTCTCTTCCTGAGGTGCACGCCTCCTGGGGAGAGATAGACTGACATGCTCAGGAACTATCTTAAACTTCCTAGATAAAAGACCCACCCCGTTTCCTGCCCTGCCTCCTCCCTTCCCTGTCTTATGATAAGGTGTGCAGTAATTATTGAATGAATGGATGGATGGATGGATGGATGGATGGATGGATGGATGGATGGATGAATGGATGGATGGATGGATGCACAGATGAGAGCAGGAGAGTGTTGGTCCTTGGGCAGCCTGCTCTATGCCCGCCGGCGCTGTTCGGTAGAGTTTCGCCACCAAGGAAGCATTGGGCAGAACAGTGGAGAATGGCAGGCTTAGGCAGTAAAATGCTACACCAGCCACAGGGTCATAGAGCCCCAGGGGCAGCCCAGAAGAGTGAGTGCTGCTTCAGAGTTCTGGGTGTCCTCAGCTCCATTCTTGTTCTTGACCCATCAGAGCCAAGACCTTCGGCCCTGCCTGTCAGAGACAGGTCTGCCACCCCTGAGAAGCCCGCCCTGCTTTCATCTCAGTCTGCTCCTACACTGACCGCTTTCTCCTTCGGCCAGGCCAAAGGAGCCCGCCCCTCGCTCAAAGAAGAGGACCAGAAGGAGAGCAGTACCAAGGTATCTGGAAAGCGAAGGGAGGAGAAAGTGGGGGTCAGAGTGGACCGCTGGCTGAACACAAGCATGTTTTCTGAAATACATAAATGTGGGGCCAGCTTGAGGAAGGCAAGAAAGAGCCCTGAGTCAGCTTCCCTGGTGCTTAAGGCTGGAACCTGTCGATGGTTTGGGGGTGAGGACCAAAGAAAGGAAGAGAAACAAGAGAGAGGAAGAGAAGGATGCGAGTTGGGGGTTAGGTGAAGGGAAGAGTACAGCAGGGAGCTGAGGGGCGGGATGAGGGAGGAAGGGAGGGCAGAAGGAGGTCACACGGGGTTCGGAAGGAAGCAGGATGTGGAGAGTACAGAGGGGCTTAGGTGAACCAAACCGAGTAATTTGAACCAACACCCAAGATAGCAACTGAGAGGCAGCTGACTCGGGCAGATCAGCCAAAGACTGTGCTTGACAGGCTGACAAATACCTTGCGCTTCTCAGGTGACCTTGGTCCAGATGATTCTCTTCCCTGGTCTGGATGAATTTACTAAAACTTGAAGAGTCACTATTAGGGAGCTCTGTGCTCAGTCTTTGAAGCAGAGATATGAGAGTACAAGAAACATGCCTGGAAGGTCCGCTGCACGCATATGCTATGTTAGAGTCCAGTGATGACGATGATGAGGTCGGGCATCGCAGCCCTCCCGCTCCAGCCAGGGCACCAGAGCACGACGACCGAAGGAAGAGTAATTCAGGGCTGTGAGGTGACCCCACTGCCCACCCCACCTTGGCCACTCACCCCATGGTCAGCCCGTGGACCTTGTGATAACTTCACCCCCACTGGCTCGCTTTCAAGCATCCCCTTCGCTCATCACCATGTCCTGTTCTTATAGCTTCGTCCAGCCACACCCCAGCCCCAGCATTTCTTCCTGTTCTTGCATCAGCAATATCCTCCCCAGAATCAGACCATTCCTATCAGCATCCTAGCTCTCTGTTATTTCTTTTGTCTTAAGAAAACAAAACTACTGGGGCGCCTGGGTGGCTCAGTTGGTTAAGCGACTGCCTTCGGCTCAGGTCATGATCCTGGAGTCCTGGGATCGAGTCCCACATCAGGCTCCCTGCTCAGCAGGGAGTCTGCTTCTCCCTCTGACCCTCCTCCCTCTCGTGCTCTCTGTCTCTCATTCTCTCTCTCGCAAATAAATTAAAAAAATAAAAAAATAAATAAAAATTAAAAAAAAAAAAAAAGAAAAAGAAAACAAAACTACTGTCTTGTCTCCACCCGTTCTGTCCTGAGTCTGCTACAGTCTGGTTTGGGTCCCATTGCCCCCGAGGAAATGGCCCACGTCAAGGCCACTGATGACCTCCACCTTCCCACATGCAGCACAGCTCAGGTCTCTTCTAACTCGACCCATCAGCAGCTTTGGTGGCTCATTCTTCTTGTAGTCCCCACCTGGGAGAGAAGGAGGTGAGGGCGTGGCTTCCTTCTTGGTTCTCTGCCTCCATCAGATTTTGTTGCTTCCCAGTCCTTCTTGGCTGGCTCCTCCTCATCATCCTGCCCTTTACACGCAGGAGGCCCCAGAGCCCGGATCTCTGGCCTCTAGTCTATTTCTCTTGACTCCGTGTGACCTGTTCTGGTCCATGACATTAAGTGCCATCTATATGCTGAGGACCCCCAAATCTTCCTCTCTGGCCCAGACCTTCCCCTGACCTCCAGGAGCAGTTAAATTATATAGCTAAGTATGTATTAACTGATATTCTGCATTTCCATTTAGGTATCTAATTATATTTCAAACTTACCTCATCCAAAACTCAACTGTTGAATCTTTACCCCCCAAAATCTCTTTCCCCAGTCAATGGCAGGAGAAGGCAACTCCAACCTTCCAGATCCTCTGACCAAAAATCTTGGGTCCACCTTTGCCTCCTCTCTTTCTCTGTCGCCCCACATCTCGTATATCAGCAAAAGCGGGGGGCTCTACTTTGGGGACCTGTCCAGAATTAGGCCATTCTGTCATCTTCATTCTCACTACGCTAGTGCAAGCCCTACCACACGGAAACTCTTGGTTCTATTTTGCAACTTTTCGTGAGTCTTAAATTCTTCCCAAATATAAAGTTATAAAAAACAACAACACTTAGAGGAACCCCTCATCCCCCAGTGGAAGTCCGATAATGTCACTCCTGTGCTCAGAACCTTGGTGGTTTGCTGTGTCCTTTAGAGGACACGTCTGACCCCTCACCATGGGCCATGGGGCCCGGTGCACTATGGCTCTGCCCACCCCTGCCACCTCTGACCCTGTGTCCCACCATCCTCTACCTTGGGGTGCTCTGGCCAGTGTCCTCACTGCCCCCCAACCATGCCCAGCACACTCCAGGCTCAGGGCCTTTGCATCTGCTTTCCTCTACTTAGCACCCTTCTCCCCTAGAAATTTGTATGGCCTCTGCTCTCTTAGTTCATTCATGTCTCTGCTTAAATTTCCCCTCCTCTGGGAGTTCCTCTGGGCCTTCCTACCTAAAATGGAAGCCCTGTCACCCTCTGTCCCTCACTCTCCTTCTGGTACATACTGCCTGACGTTAGAGATTGGTCTGTTTGGCAGCCCTCCAGGAGCAAGGTCTTGGTTGTTTTGTTCACTCCCAGAAGAGTGATGGCAGGTAGGAGCCACTCACATTCCTGATTGAATAAATGCAGGTACAGAAAGCACCGTTGGGTCCTCATGGTAACAGAGTTTGCCTTGACCTTCTGCCAGATCCAGGTCACCATCTCCAAGTCTGCCCAGGAGAAGATGCGGCTGAGGCAGATGAAGGAGATGGAGTTGCTCCAGAGGGCAAAGGAGCTGGAGAGGGAAAGGGAGCTTGCTTCCCAGAGCCTGGCCTCCCGGAGAGCCCTGATGAAGGAAGGTACTGGGTGCCTGGGGCCCGATTCCCTCAGGCTGGGGAGACTTCTTGGCCAACCACTGGGCAAGAGAAGGTTTACCTACAGCCCCCCATGCTCCCCATCCAGACGCTGGACAGGGAGCTACTGATGGGCCCATGTCCAAAGGAGGACACTGGGGCTGAGGACAGGCAGGACCAGCGCCACCCTAGGACTTTCTCTGCCTCCACAGGCCTCCTTCCCCTCTGGGGTAGTGGGACCATGTCTGTGCCCACGGGGCTGAGCAGCCCATGCAGAAACATCGGTGGCATCCTGAGGAAGCGGGCCAACCGGGCCTCACTGCCCAGCATCCCTGTCAGCAAGCAGGAGCCCAGCTTTGCCCGCCATGCTTCAGGTAGGGCCCAGACCGACTGCCTGGGGGACTCATGTCCCTCTCGCTGTGTTGCCTCGGGATGCTTTGGGGTACAGCAAAGGTGACCTGGGCCGTTCTGCTTCTTCCCATTACCTGTGTTAGAGTAGAGGGCAGTCTGAGGTGTGATCGCCTTGCCAGAGAATGAGGGATAGTGTGGGAGTCAAAAGCATCTATGGGCCAGACTGGGGATCCAGGGAATTGCAACTAGAATTACTGATAGAAAGGCAGGTGTGCCCAGCCTGCATGACATGTCCTAGAGGACTCACCAGTGCACCGGGACCACAGATGCTGGGGAGAAACATCCGTGAAAGTAGCTGGAAACATCGGGAAGGGGAAGAGAGGGATCCGTGAAGATCTTGGGTTCCTACAGTTTGCCTCATAAAATGTCAGGGTTGGCTAGGGCTGATTACAGCCTGGGATCCCGGGATCCAAAGGTCCTTTGGGATGCTCAGGAAGGTGCCAAGGCACAAGGAGGCTCTGACCCCATTCCACCAGAGCAACATCTATTTTGCCTCACTTTTTTATATATTGGGCATCCACCTGACATTTCAATTTTGAAAGATTTTGCTACTAAAGAACATTTGAAAACAACCAGCCTGGCTCAGAGTTTCTTTAAGTGTGGGCTGTAGTGGGACCATGGTGATAGAATAGAACACCATTTTTGGTGCCAGAAATAATATTGACTCATCCTTCTTTTCCATTCTCTTTCTATCCCTTTGATTCCGTCAAGTAGAAAGTCTTAATTCAGTGCTGGTCTTGAGCACCCCTCTCAGGCTTGGAAATCTCCTTTTTAAACAAAGAGATCTTCCTTCCAGCTTGAGTCATCAGAAGCTGCCTACAATTTGATAGCTGGAGTTTTTAACGTCCTTTTACTTTTATTGCAAATATCCTATCCTATGGCAAATAATATTTGTTTACATATTATGGTAGTGACATAAATTTCCCTTTAAGATAAACTTTGCAAAGTGGGTTGGCTTGAAGAAAAATGCCGTATAAATAAAATTACAGGTAATTAAGAGACATGGCAAGAAATCATGAAAGTGGTGATTGAATGGTTGATACTTGGGAGATACTGATCTATATAATCCATCCCACTCATTTTATAGTCAACAGAACTGAGACCTAGAGACCCAAAGTCACCTGAGTTTACTTAAGGTGATAGTGGTCCGTGGGGACTAAGATTTTGGCTAATGACTCTTATCCAACGGCAAAGGTGAGAAGAGAATCTGGGAATGAGGTCTTTTGGTCTTGGCTTTAAGTAAAGGATTGCCCTGCCAACTCAGATTTGCCTAGGACCTCCTGGGTGCGCCATCTTGACAATCACGCTGGTGGAGATGAGCCTCTAAAGAGAAGTAGCCAGGAAGCAAGGTGTGGCACTGTGAGCTCTGGGTTCAGAGGAGACCCTCTTGTCATGGCTCCGCTGATGGAGATGCTGAGGGACTGTGGTGGGGACCCCTGCCCTTCCGTGCCTCTGAGGCCCCAGTGATATGTTTCGGGGATTGGAGCAGGTAGATGGCTAAACTGCCTTCTTGTTCTGCTAGGATTTTGATTCTAGCATCCGTCCCTAAGGAAGGGGATCCTAGAAAACATGACCTGAGTTTTAAACAACATCCCTGCTTATTGGCAGTCCCTGCCACATCTTGACCACATGGGCCCCCGTTAGCTGCATTGTCTCCTTTGAGCTTTCACTGTCCCCTGTTTTGTCCTTTGGGCCACTTCCCTTCCTTGCCCCTGGGCAACTTCACAAAGGGTGGAGAGTGGGGGGAAGAGGAGAAGCTGATAACATAGCCTCCTGGGTGGGGATGAGGTTAGAACACCACCAGTGTGAGTAGGGGCTCCCTCCTTGCAGACTTATGAGCCTCACCCAACCACAGATAGGGCAGGGTTGGGGGTGAGTCACCGGCATGGTGGGCTTTGTCACATGACATCAAGCAGAGTATCACAGGCTGGCTTGTTTAGAACCATCAGGATGGCAGGGCTGGGGTGGAAAAGGCCAACAAAAGCTAGACACCACTTTTGGAGGTGTCTGCGTCTCCCGGGGTGGCGGGGAGGACTCACAAATCCTGCCCTCCCAGCCCCGGCCAGTTCCTCCTCTGAGCACACCTCATGTTAGGCCAGGTCTGGGTCTTCCTGCTGAAATGTGCCATGTTCCTTTCCTTTTCTGTGAGGGCAGCCAATTCATTACCGGCGGTGCTTATCTTGGGGTCTCCCGAATGGGAAGAAGAGGAGGAAGAATTTGATCCTAGAACCTTTAAGGAGTTGAGGCCTTTCTCGAACCCTGAGCTGGGGCTGATGGATGCCCTCCAGTGCCTGGAGAGCAGCGACTGGTGAGGGGACCCCTTCTCCTGACCCCAGCTGCCCGCCTCCCCTGCGGCAGGAGAGGGGTGGTGGTGGGGGTGGGTGGGGGGTGCCCCGGTGCCCCTGATCTGCACGGGGAGCAGGGCTCCTCCCTCCCCACCTGCCTGTGACAGACCTGGAACTCACTTCTCAGGCAGATGAAGGAGAAGGGCCTGCTGAGTGTCCAGCGCCTGGCGGTCTGTCATTCAGATGTCCTTGCTGGGAGGCTACACGACGTGTCCTTGGCTGTGACGGGGGAGGTGAGGCCACCTAGACAGCCTGTGTCCTGTGCATTGTCCCCACCCTGCAGAGCAGGCAGTCCCCCTTCCCTGGTGCCACTGCTCAGTGTGGGTCACATGGCAGCCACGGAGAGGCCATGGCTCCCTGGAACGTGGCATCCCCTGCTTATTTCTTAGCCCTCAGCCACAGAGGTGGGAGGTAGCCGCCCATGTTTCAGATTGGAAAACTGGGGCCTGGGTTTTCTTTGTTTCTAATCTCTGGGCACTGAAACAACCAGAGTCCTGTATGCCTGTTTGTCCCAGCCCTGTGCTGTCCTCTGTACTCAGATGCCCAACGAGGGGCTGGAGTGTTCTGGGCTAGATCTCCAGCTTCAGGGAAGTTGTAACATTTCCCAAGGATTTTCTCCCCTGGGGCTGGGGCTGGGGTGGGGGCCTAGGCCAGGCCCAGAGAGGCAAAGAGATGCATCTTATCACATGTGGAGGCCAGGTCCCTTCTTGGGAATAGACTATTCCAGTGGTGGGGGTGATGTTGGGGGGGGCCGGGCTTGTGAAGACTAAATTGAACATTCTTTGTAAAAGTACTTAGAAGACTAAGTGTTGCACAAATTTCAGATGTTCAAATTTTAAATTTCAGGTGGAATTAGTAACTATGATGATAACAATAATAGCATTTTTTTTTTAAATGGGGCTATTTTGTCCAGAGCTATTGTGTGGTTTTCGTTTCCAGCCTGGCAAGGCCTAGGCCTGCAGGAAGGGTGGTGGTGGCAGGAGAGGGTGGGGCTGTGCCCCATACTTCGTATGTTCTGGAACCCTTGGCAGGGTCCAGCAGTCCTGGAGGCTCCCTGTCCCATCTCTCTCCTAGGTCACCAACCTCCGCTCCAAAGTGTCCCGCCTGGCCATCAGCACCCTGGGAGCCCTCTTCCGGGCCTTGAAGAAGAACATGGACCAGGAGGCTGAGGAGATTACCCGCAGCCTGCTCCAGAAGATGGGGAACACCAGCGAGTTCATTCAGAGAGCTGCCCACCGCTCCCTGGGGGCCATGGTGGAGAATGTGACCCCCGCCCGCTCCCTGGTGGCCCTCACCTCGGCGGGCATCTAGTACGTGGTGGCTCGTTGTCGGAGGGGTGGGTTGGGAAGGTAAGGCTAGGGGAGAGGTCTGGGGATGGGAGAGGAGCAGCCAAATACAGCAGATGCCCCACACATGTAGCCGGGGGAGGAGGAAGACCCGTGCTTCCTGGTGCGCTTCTCTCCCACCTTTCTTGGGTCAGGTTGGGGATAATGAGGCGAGCTCGGGGCAGCCCCGAGCCTCAGCTGCAAGGGGAGAGCTACTGTGTTCTGTTCAAGGCTGGGGAGTTCAGAGTGTCCGTGGTAACATCCGGAGACCGGGCTGAGAGCCAGCCTGCGGCCTGTGTGCCTCTCCCAGGGGATGGGCGTTCTTTCTGATGAAATCAAGGCTGTGAGCAGAGCAAGGCACACAATCTCATTCTAGCTCACACCTCTTGGCCTTTTCCTGGGGAGGAGGAAGGTGCTTGCCTCCCAAGGGAGCCTTTCTGCAGCCAGATTTGCTTTCACCTTATTCAAAAACCCAAACTAAAGCAAAACCAAAACCATTTCCCAAACCCTCTCTCCCACAGGCCAAACGACTCTCGGCCCCAGAACCACTTGTAACACAGATGCAGGGGCTTCTGGGAAGCCCCCAGGGTGTGTGGTAGCCGCGGGCAGGCCTTTGCTAGCCACACCACAGCCGGGTAGGAAGGGTGAGGGGCTCCGGAGTCACGTTGCCTGGGTTCACATCCTGGATTGTTACTTCACTTCTCTGTGCTCAGTTTCCTCATCTGTAAAATGGGAATAATAATGGTGCATACCTCTTCAAAGTGTGAGGAGTAAATGAATGGATTCATGAAAGAGCGCTCAGAACCATGCCTGCCTTTACTGTAACATTCACTGAGAGCTCACTGTGGCTGCCACTAACTTGGGAGATGTTATTTGTCCTTTTTTTCTGGATTCCTCCCTTTTCTCAGCTTCCTCATCTGCAAAATGATGCTAATAGTGGCTTATGGAGTCGAACAGATAATAGATGAGGGGTGTTTAGCAGGGTGCCTGGCTCTGAGGCTGTGCTAAGTACAAGCTGAGGCAATTGATCATTGTTGCAAGAAGCAGGGTCAGGTGTGTAATGAACTGTGGGCACACAGGCCCTGTTTGAAAAAGTGAAAAAGAAACAAGTGACATTCTGATGGGTTTCCCCTGTTAGGGTTACCAAATTACCCATGGATCCCCTGTCCCTCCCTCCTGTCTCAGCTCACTTGGACAAACGTGCAGTTAGCTCCCACTAAGTGTGGGCATGTGCCAGGCACCAGCGGGGCACAGGATTCCACTGGGGGGAAGGAAGCTGGGTGCCAGCTCCTCGGGAGCTCCTTGCCTGGCTGGGGAGCCACAGGGGACCAGGGCAGCGCTAGCCCCAGGGAACATTCTGCCAAGGGGGGTGGGGAGGGCAGAGAAGGAGACAGGGATTGGGCAGGGTCTTTCTAGGTGGAGAAAAGGTGGGGAAGGCAAACACGGGCTCAGGAAAGCGCAGAGGTGGTGAGCACCCATGTGTGTGTGTGGAGCACCGCGTGGCGGCTATAGGCGCTCCTTCTTCCTTCTCCCGTCGTTACCATTGTCATCCTGGGTTCTATGATCACGACGTGACTCCTCTTTTCTTGAAGATTCCCTGTAGCCCATATGAGAGATTGCGGAGCCCATCATGGCATGAAACATGGAGGCACAACTGTAGGTCCACGTGCAGCAGTCTGGGGACCCCACACCCCATTCCTTGTCTGCACCCTTGACTGGGATTGTATTTTTTTTCAGCCACCGAAACCCCTCAGTCCGGAAATGCACTGCCGAGCACCTCTCAGCCGTCCTGGAGCAGATAGGCGCCGAGAAACTTCTCTCGGGCACCAGGGACAGCACGGAGATGCTGGTGCACAACCTGGTGAGACTGGCCCAGGACTCCAACCAGGACACCAGGTGATGCAGGGCCAGGGGCTGGGGGCTGCCTAGCCGGCCAGCCCAGGGCAGATAAGGCAACCAGCCAGCCCTAAGGGCCCTGGCCCGCATAGCTCAGCTTTCCTGGGGCCATGGGAGGGATGGTCAGACAGACACACCAGCTGTGTCCTTGCCTTATGGCCTCCGTCCATCTCTCTCTGCCGGCATAGCCAGGCCTGGAGGAATGGCCAGCACTGCCCGCCTCTAGTTCTCCCTCTCTCGCCACTGCTCTCCCCCTGTTCCTGACCCACCCCAGCTCCACCCTCTGAAAGGCCATTCATTCTTTTCAAGGATAGTGAGCAGATCACTCTTCGTTATTATGGACAGGGCAGTGAATAAGAAGAATTAGGCCTCTGCTATCCTGGAGCTCACCCCTAGTTGGTTATTTGTTTGTTTACTTGTTATAATCAACAAATAAATTATTATGGTCACTTCAGATAGAGATAAGGGGTACAGAGAGAAAAGCACCATGGTAGAGAATGGGGTGGTGGCTCCTTTGATGGAGAGTCGGGGGAGATCTTTTGGGAGAGTGACATTGGAGTTGAGAACTGATGGTCCAGCAGGAGCCAACTCATTGGGGGTCCGGGGTGTGAGTGTGCCAGCAACGGAAATTACAAAGGCCCCCCGGGATGGGAGTATGCTCAGTACTCTGGGAAGAGGAAGGCTGGGCTGCATGGCACCCCGGGGCATGGGGCAGGGCGGATGGGCAATGAGGCGGATGAGGGCCCCTCAGGCAGCGGTCAGGAGGCAGGATTCCGGCTGGGGTGTGACCGGAAGCCACCGGAGGAGCTTTAGTAGGAGTGTGAGGAGATATTCGACGGTGTAAAGCAGGAGAGTGATAGAACCTGATTAGCGGTCTTGGAAAGCTACGGTTAGGGTCCAGTTAGCCACGTTCCTCAGTCCCCGGGACATTGTGGCCAGATCTGGAGCCACACCACATCTGGTACGCCTCCACAGGGCATGTCCCCCTGCCTTCTGTGCTTTCCTGCGGACGAGGGCGCGCCCTCCCCACTGCAGCGGTGCTCCAGGGAACAGCCTCACATGTGCTCCCTGGTGGAGCCCAGGGAGAATGTCTGGGAGTATTCCCTGGGGGCAGGACAGTGGTCAGGGGCATGTGTCCATCTAAGCCACCCGAGCATTGTGGGGAGCTCTTGAACACGCTGCGCCCCTCCGTTTCCCTCCTGCGGGGACAGTGCCTACATCCTCACGACCTTGCAGTATCTGGAGTTCTAATTTTTATTGATCTAATGGGTAAAAGTGCCAGCTCATCATTATTTCTGAGTGCTTTTCGCCCCTGGTTACTAGAGTTTGTGTGTCTTTAAATGCTCGCTGTCTTCTTGATTTTTTTTTTTTTAAATCTTTCTGGCTGCTCATTAGAGGAATGATAGTAGGGGAGGGGGCCGGGATGGAGGAGGGACACCAGACATATGGCTACTCCCCAGTCCCTGCCAGAGGTGCTGGAGGCTAGCAGAGGGGAGGGGAGAGCTGGATTGGGGTGTCTTTTGAAGGCAGAGCCAACAGGATGTGGGTGGTGAGGCTTTCAAAGAGAAATCAAAGATGATGCTTGGGTTTTTAAGCTGAACAATTGGGTAAATGATAGTGTCATTTACTGAAATGAGGAAAGTTGGTGGGGAACTAGAAGGTTCTGCTTGATTTGTTTTTAGTTGTTGGGAGGGGAATGGACATCCAGATCTAATGTCTCTCCAGCTGGAATGTTGCCCTCCATTCTGACCTCTTTCACATTGCCGGCATTGACGACTCTCCACTTTCCTTCTCGGCACCTATGCTTCCGGTGTCCATGGCCCTACACTCCCTAGTTCCCTTCTTCCTCTATGGCCGCCTCTCCACCTGCCTGCCCTCCGGATGTAGATGGCCGCAGGAGTGGTCTTCATTCTTGTCCTCTTACGACTTTCCCTGAGTACTGTTACCATTTCCATGGCTCCAGCCACAGCAACTCTGATGCTTCGTAGGGTCTCCCTCCAGGCTACCCCTTCTCTGAGCATCAGTGCTTTACCTCTAAAGCCTCCGGAGGACCCATCACCGCTGCCAGATGTCCCACTGTCATCTTCGGTGCAGAGTTTCCCTGAATGAACCCATCGCCTTCTCCCCAAGCCTGTTTCTCTGGCTGTGTTCCTTCTACTCTAAAAAGTCACTATTATTTACTGAGTCATCTAAGATGCAGAATAGGCACCTTCATACTTCATTGATTCTAAGACACACAATTTCCCCCACCTTTTAATATCTTACACTCAGAGGCATCTCACAGTTGCTGCTGGCCAGGCAGCAATTTTGATTTGGGTTTTACTCCCTGCACATTCTCAAACTTGGGCATTATCGCTCATAGTGTAAACCTTTGAATTACAGTGTGCATTGTAGGAATTAAACTAGGAGCCTTGCTCGTTGCCTTTTATATTTATTTTAAGAAGTCACCATGGATGCTCTGTGGGGACTTGTTGAGTTTAATTGCTCCCTAAAATGTCTCAGAAATATTACACTATTATTTGGCACTGAAATGAAAAGTTATAGTGTATGAGAAGAAGCATGGAACTTGAGCGATGGGACATAAATTAGATATGAATGCAAACAGTCATAGAAGGAACAACCCGAATTCCACATTTCCTTACCAGGCAACCACCAAGTAGTTTACCCAGCCTAAGGAAGGAAGGGCACTGCCCGCGAGTAATGTTACCTCTGTTTCTGAGATAATACACGAAGGTGTTGCCTTCCCACATGGGGCAGTGTCATTGAAGGTAGTGGAAATTGCCAGTGCTTTCTATTTTTGTTTTTCCTCGGTGGAAAATAAATCAATGGTGCATTTTATAATCAATGGAGTCTTGGGTTGAGGGAAATAATGACTGCAGATGCTCCCTGCTCCACCTCCGATCAGCTCCCAAGCCCTGCAGTCTCCACTTTCTTAACAGGTCCCGAGGTTGACCGCCCCTTCCTCCTCCCACTCTATAGCCTTATTTCAGGACTTCATCGCCTCTTGCCTGGACTACCATGGTGGCCTCTTAACAGGTCTCCTGGCCCCCCGCCTTGCCACCAGAGATGCATCCTCTACACTGCTGCCAGAGACTTTTCCACTAAAGTGCAAATCTGGTCATTCCACAGCTTCCCGTTGTCTGCACTTTAAAGCCCAGCTCCTTCACATTTCCAGAAATTGGGCCATACCCGCTCCAGGCCCTACCTGCTGTTTACCAACCACACACCTGTTAACGTGTCAAATTGTATTACAGACCCTGGAATGACCCCCACCTCCACCCCCTTTCCCCCGATCCCATCCCACTTATGAACTCCTACTCCTCTTTTGAGTCCCAATCTAAGCGTCACCTCTTCTCTGAAGCCCTCTTTGATTTCCTCCCCCACCCACTGCTGTTCGCTAGGTAGAGCTGACCACTTCCTTCCAGACTGGCCCCCTCCCCCGCACCCTTCCTCAGACTTCTAGATGCCTCATACTAGAAGAAGTTAAGTACATTTTGGTATAGTCATCCAATGGAATATTATGAATCCACTAAAAAGGATGACATGGGAAGATGATTAATGATGAAGTGAAAAAAGCCAGAGGCAAGTTGTATATACATTCTGGTATCAACAAAAATGTATATGCGTCAAAAAGGCTACAAGAAAATATGACAAAATTTAATAGTGGCTTTCTCTTGGTAATGGGGCTACGGATGATGTTTATTCCTTTATGAATCTAGTTTTTAACTGTCTTAATTAGCAATTACTGTCTTAATTAGAAAAAGTATCAAGAACTCTTTTACTACAATTACAAAACTTCTGTAAATCTGTAAAGCAGATTTATGATGCATTTCTATGGCTGTTTCTTCATCCCTCTCTTTCTCCTGCGGCAGGTTTTATGGCCGCAAGATGGTGAATATCTTGATGTCAAATACGAAGTTTGATGCATTTCTGAAGCAGAGCCTCCCGTCTCATGACCTACGGAAGGTCATGGCGGCTATTAAGCAGAGGGTGAGTTGGTGGCCTGAGCAGGTGGGGGTGGGGGGGTGCGGGGGAGGTCAGAGCTGAGCCGGGAAGGGGGGTGAGGTGTGCATTCCAGAGATTCCATTTCACCCACAACCCCTGCCAGGTGGGATAAGTGTGATTTCCTTCCCCTGTGCTTGGACCTGGCTCTGCCCCTCTCTGCCAGCGTGCCTTGAGCCACCCTGGGCACGTCCGCACTGTCTCCTGTTAAATGGGGATCTTGACCCCTGCCCCGACTACCAGTGGCCTGGAATGCTCAGTTGTGCCCTCAGAAGCTCTGCCAGGTGGAAAGGGTTATTCCTGTCACTATGGTCTAGGCTGGAGTGGTTGGCAGTTTCCCAGAGAGCCACTCCTTCAGCTCATGTTCTGTGTGCCTTTTTCAAGGGAATAGAAGAAAGCGACGGACTTCCATCTGCCAAGGGCCACAAGGTGTCGAGGAGTCTGGTGCTGGGTGAGAACGGGCTGCCCAGCGAGGATGGGTATGGCTGCTCTTGTCTCTCTGGGGCTCCACGTCCAAGGCTGCCGACGGAGATGGCCCACTGGCCCTGGGCGGGGGTGGCTCTGGGAGGCTGTGTGGATCTGGGCTACGGTGGAGACCTAGTTGGGTCTGCAGCACTCATGGGTGAATTTAGAACAGGTGTCCCCCCACCCAAATCTCAGGGAGACCAAATCCTGGGATCGGAAGCACTGGCCAGGAGAGGTTGGTTTCTGCAGTCCCGCGGGGTGGGTACAATGCCACTAGTCCGCGTGGGGCGTGTTGCTGGCCGGGCTGTCTGCCCGAGCTCAGCGCTTCTCCACCCACTTCGAGCCGCTCACCCTGTCGCCATCAGGGCGGCCTGGGGTGAGTTTAGAGGCAGAGCTGGGGAGAAGGCAGATGCGAGGGAATGGGTGGGGAGGCTGGAGGGTGGGTGCTGGGAGGAGCAGAAACCAAGCAGAAACTCTATGGTCACTGATGCGCCTGAAACTCAAAATTCTTCTCTGGTGCTCAGGGAGGACCCCATCTGAACTCCTTAGCAGGCGCCCAGGGAAGCCCCCATCACCTGCTTGAGATTAGCTTCCTGCTCTCCCCCACACGTGGTCTCTCAGCCAGCCCAGAGCAGCTCGTCCTCCCTGACCGACACCCTCCGCCATGCCCTGTCTCCTGCTGTGCCTTTGCTTATGCTGTATGCCTGCACACCTCCTAGAACTTGCCTGTCTCTTCTGCAGGGTCCCTCAAGACCCACATTACTGTCACCTCCCCCCCGAGGCTCTCTCTTACTTCTCTCTGTTCTTCGGTCTTCTGTCAGCCCCTTGGCTTACCTGCCTCCACTGGTCTGAGAGCTCCTTCAGGCAGAGAATGTGCCTCTCATCTCACTGTCCTTGGTGCCCACAACAGCTCTAGGCACTCAGTGGGCAAACCGCGCGGACTGTAGGAATGAATGACAGCATGGATGATGTTGGGCTCTGTCAGAGGGGACTTGCGTGTAGGGCATGAGCTCAAAGAGCCAGGTTCTGAGCTGGGCGTGGGGGGTAGGAGTCCTGTATGGAACTGCTCTCACGCTGGCCGGACTGGGCCAGAGGCTACGATAGACATGTGCTCTCAGCGGAAGAGAACAGGGCTTAACAGTTCCCTGGTCACTGGAGAAGTAGGAGCAGGGCCGAGGCAACCGGGGATCAGGATAAAGGCACCTGGCGAGATCGTCCCTCACTCTTAGCTTAAATGTGCAGTCATCCTTCAGTGGACTCCTGCCTCTCACTCCCATACCGCAACCCCCCCGCCCTTCACGTGTTTTCTGAAAAGAGAAAAAAAGGCAGGAAGAGAGAGACCTGTCCCCTGACAAAAGGATGGGGCTCTAGGCCACCTGACTGCTGTCCCCTGAGGAAACAGGATTTCCAGAGTTCCAGGGCCAGTGTCCTCAAGCCGCAGGTGGAGCCGCTGGGGGTGGACTAAGATGCAGGTAGCACTCTTGTCTCAGTCTCACCTGTCTGCGGGCGGGGCATGGGACAAGAGGCGCAGCCGTCCTCTGGGGCTGCCCAGGTCAGAAGTTCCTTCCACACAGGCTCAGCTCCAACGGCCCTCGGCTGGTGGGGCTTCGCTCCTCCGTGCGCGGCAGCCTCGGGGTGGCGGAGCATCTTCGGGAGCTGACGCGGCTGCTGGAGGCCAAAGACTACCAGTCCCGGATGGAAGGCGTGGGGCGGCTCCTGGAGCACTGCAAGGCCAAGCCAGAGCTTATCACCGCCAACCTGGTCCAGGTGAGCACTGCCCCAGCCCTGCCCCCCCCACCCGTCTCTCTCCTGTGGGTGCAACTTCAATTTGGAAACCTCAGGACAGAGTTGGACAGGGTGCCAGATGCCTCAGGGTAAAGGGAGCCAGAAAAGCACCTGCTACCCGGTTGCCTTGTTAACACTGTGAGACTGCCTGGAAGTAGCCGAGGGGGACAAAGGCCCCGGCTCCTGCCAGGCGCCTTGGGACCACCCAGAGATGTCCTGGGCATCTCTCATCCCTTTAGTGGATTTATGACGAGGAGGGTAGAGGTAGGGGGTCCCACAGCTGAGGGCTGCTCCTAGTCTAGCCAGGCACATGATGTGTTGGGGGCAGAGTATGTGGTTGGCCAAGCGACTGGGCCAGGATGGTTAGATGGGTGGGTTAGGAGCCAGCACAGGCCCTTCACAGACTGGAAACCAGGGCAGATGCTTGCTTTTTCCAGGATCCAGGCTGCCGATGGTCAAGCCGTGTGGCACAGTACTTAAGACACAGGCTCGGAGTCAGCAGACCTGGGTATCCATCCAAGTTCCTTACTAGCTGTGTGATCTGGGCAAATCACTTCAACTCTTTCTGCCTCAGTTTTGGCTTTATTTTGAATGGTAAACTAAGGATGGGAACGCGTGCCTCATGGATTAAGATCATTCCATGAGAGGGCAGGGTACCCCTAATGAGATGCTCTAGATGCTTTGATGCAATGAGTGCTCAACAGGTGGTTGCTCTTCCCCTCTTGCCCTCCTCCCCTTCTGAGGAGGTAAGCGCCTCACCACTGAGAATGTTCTGGCATAGGTTAGATGACCCTGTCAGGGAGGCAGGAGGAATCCCTGCCAAGGGTGGTTGGTTGGGTTGTGGGCTTCCTGACCAGCCTGGGTTCCCATGGGCTCTTGGTTTCTGTTCCCTCAATAGGTCTTTGATGCTTTCACCCCAAGGCTTCAGGATTCCAACAAGAAAGTGAACCAGTGGGCACTGGAGGCCCTTGCCAAGATGATCCCCCTCCTCAAAGAAAGCTTACACCCCTTGCTGCTCTCCATCATCATTGCTGTTGCAGACAACCTCAACTCCAAGAACTCGGGGATTCACACCGCCGCGGTGACTGCACTGGATGCCATGATTGAGAATCTGGGTGAGCCTCCTGCCTCAGCCCTGCTTGGCTCTGGTAGGGAGCCGACTTGATCCCTGAGCCCACCCCAGGGTGGGCTCACCCTTCCTGCTGGGAAGCAGCAGAGTGCTGATGGGCACTGGGGGGCTCTCAGGCCAGATGTTTCCCCGAAGGCTGTGTAGGACAGGGATGGGCAGCCCAGAACCTGGTTGGCAGGCTTTCCCATGTCACATCCACCCGAGTGTCCTAAATGGGAGGCGTGGAGGATAGATGTGTAGATGATCTAGTCTTGCCTCCTCAGAGTACATGTGACAGAAATGACTCATCCAGGGTCACACAGTACCGCAGTGATTGAGCCAACAGGGCACTGAAGGAAAAATAGGTCCGGATTACCAGGAAGAAGCTGGAAGCGTCGCCAGCAATGTTTTTAGATGTAGCGATGATCGCAGTGGGGGTGGCTTGTATGGGGATGGTGGTGAGAGAGCAGAGCAAGTCTGCTGGAGAGGACAAAGTGGACAGGCAGGTGGGCCACCTTGATTGTCTGGTATAGGAGTGGGGCTGGGATCCCATTGGCTTTTGAGCGTGGAACGGATGAGAGTTGCCTTTGAGGAAGACTGTTTGGGGCCAGAGCTCAGGGTGGGAGGAATCTGGGTGAGGAGTAGGGAGTGAGGGTTGGGGGTGGAATGAAAAGGGAAAAAGGAGTGAGCTACGGGAGACACATCAGGAACAGCAAGAGCTTCTCAGTTCCTGTGTGCTTTGCACTAACACATCTTAGTTCTCCAACATTCCTAGGTGGGATTTTGGGTGCATCCACTTCTGCTCTTCATTCCTTTCTTAGATACTTAGAAGGTGATATTTGGCATGTCTAGGACACAGACCGAAGTGCAGGTGCGTGTGGGACATAGCACATGAGTAGTCATGTCCAGACCAGAGGAACGCTGAGTTTTCACAAACCACTCTTGCCATGATGTAAGGAAGCTCGTGACCTGAGAACCACCTGTGTTGGTCTTGTTGCTGTATGTCCCGATGAGCACAGAGCCACGTCCTGCCTTTAAGACCCACAGAGCATCCCTGTGGTGAGGCTGCAAACACCGCCAGGCACGCCTCCCCTCCCAGTGCCCACACCCTGCGGGAGCCCAGCTCCCTGGGGCTGGACGGCAGCTGTGTCCTTGGCTGAAGCTTCCAGAAGCAGTTTCAGTTACAAATCAAAGGCCTGGTCAGGCCCTTCTCTGCCTTTCGAGTTCATAAATACTGTCAATTTCCTCTCTTCATCTCAAAGGGAATTTATGATTTGCTGAGTTTGTTGCTGTAGAACAAACAATATAAATCCAGCTTTAAATTACGACTTGTTCTCAGTGCTGCTCTGGGTAAGTGAGATTGCTGTTGCCAATAACCAAGGCTCTTAGTAAATCACTGCAGGCCCTGGATTTATTGGGAAAACCTGCACCAAGCAAAATAGGCTTTAGCTATTTGAAGAGGCTAAGCACCCTTGTCAGGGGAGAGGCGCTTTTAACCCTTCTCTCTGAGTGTTAGAGTTTCCACTTTCTGCCACTGGGCCATCCTCCTAGAGCACGTGGGAGCTCTGGAGCTTTGGGCTGCAGAATCTGGTGTCTCGCATTATCCCAGGACTCAGGCCTTCTCTACCTGGGGCCCTCCTGTACCCACCTGGGCTGGCCATCCTGGAAAGGGGGCTTGGGGCTGGCCTGCTTTTGTGATCTGACCACACCTTGAGTCAGGTTGCAGCTTCCAGGAAGATGCCTAGAGTTGTCCTTTCCTCCTGGGACAGGGTCTCCTTGGAAATGGCTGACGATGCCCCCTCTGGGCCATCAGCCAGAGGATCTGATGTGGGGAGAATGGAGGCAGGCGTGAGGGGTCTCTAATCCTTAGGTCAGTGTTAGGCTGGAATGGAATGTTGTTGGCCTCGAAGAGTTGGATGGAGCCTAGCAAACCCCTGGCAAAAAGCTCCTGTGGGGCCCAGAGGGTGAAGCCCAGGGTCTTGGCTCTGGATCATTTTGAGCAGGTGCAGCAGTGGGCTCTTGAGGCCACGTGGCTGTGCTGTGAGCCATGCCCATTCTGCCCAATGAGTGACCTTGGTTTTGGAAGTGAGTTTTTTTTGTTTTTGTTTTTTTAAGATTTTCTTTATTTATTTGAGAGAGAGAGCATGAGTGTGTATGTTGCGGGGGGGGGGGCGGATGACAGAGGGAGAGGGAGAGGCAGACTCCCCACTGAGCACCAGGGAGCTCTGAGGACCCTGGGATCATGACCTAAGCCGAAGGCAGACACTTAGCCGACTGAGCCACCCAGGTGCCCCTGAAAGTGTTTTAAATGATGAAGTGACTAGCTGATTTCTATATCTATGAAGGGCAGAAGTGGAGGGGTGTAGATCGCCAGTAAGAATTCATCACTGCCAGGGAGTGAGTACCTAGGGTAGAATCAAGCTCTCTGTGGGAATGGTTCTCATCTGCCTAGAATGGTCTGAGTCTGACCTGTGGAAGGAAAAATGGATGCAAGTCACTAAATTTCCCACTGTCCCAGGGGATTGGGTGGTAGAAGCAGAGACTGGAGCAGGAGTGGCAGAAGGGAAGGGGTGTAAATCTTCCTTCCCATTTCATCCTGGTGGCTCCAGTCCACCCTCAGCATCCTGAGGCCCCTCTTGGAAGTGGCTTGGAGCCCTTTGAGCAGAGGGAGCTTTCTCCCAAGCCTAGTGTCATCCCCCTCAAGGGATCCAGCCCGCAGGCTGGAGAGGAACCATGAAATGCTGTGAAATACTTAAATGTGGAGAGTCACAAAGGAATGGCTCAGCATATTATGATTTGTTCCCCACTCAATGGGGGCCATGGGGACCAAGAACACAGCCGGGGGAGTCCATCTTCTGGCACAAAGTCCAGATGGCACAGCCAAATTGGGAGGTTGGCTTTCTTAGGCAACCTCTTAGGGTCCCTCTTGAAATTCAGTGATAAGTTGACTCATCAGCCACCCAATCTCTTCCAGTTCCTTGGTCTTCCTGAGGGTGTATGGGGTGGGTGGTATGGTGGTCGACAGAGCAGGTAGGGATTTATGCCCATGTCCCCTTTTTTGGAGGTGGTGAGGAAGGAGGCACGTGGGCACCTTGCTCCCTGACCTCTGCCCTTCGTCACTGCCTGCCTGGGGACCTCTCCAGAAAGGAGCCTGGAGAAGCATCCTTTCTACTTAGCACCAGGACCTTCTGATTTCAGGGGAGTTATTCTGGGGATCAAGGCAGGTCCTGAGCAGACTGGCTGGTTCTATCTTTGGGCCCTATTACCAGGTTAGCTATAGAAGAAACTTCACTAATTAAAACATCAGGCTGCCGACAGCCCACTCCCTCCTGGTCAGACTGAGCGGCAAAAGGAGTTCTCTTAATTTAGCGCAGCCCCCAGCCAGTGCTGGAGAGAGCAGATAAGCTCCGAAATGGGCAGCTTCAGATCTACTTTTGCTATTTTGCTCTGTTGACTCTAAATTCATTACCTTATACAAATCATATGGCCAACATGGTATTGTTCAGGGAATTTAGAAATTCATCCATGGTGCCCCTCTAGTGTACCAGCTGCTTAAAAATCTCTCTTCTCTTTCTTGTCTACATGTGTACACATTTCCCTGGTTAAAGATTGTAATGTAAATACAATTTAGACTTTGCTTCTTTCGTTTAACTAACCAGTTTTTCATGGTACCATGCAGCCTTCCTACTTAGCTTAAAAATATAAAGTTTACTTTCCACCACGTAGAAGTCATACTTGTTCATTATTGAGAAAATGGAAAATACAAAGCATTGGGAAGGAAAAATTTGAAAGCCCCTCATTTTCAGTCTCAACTTCTGGAAGAGACCATTATTAACATTTGGCACTTTTCATTTCAGATATTTTTTTCTGTGCCTATTTCTGTCGAGTCATGATGATATTACGCATTTAAATTTGCCTCCTGCTTTTAAAAAAAAGCAGAGCGCAAGCATTTACATATGATTACACACTTGAGTCACTTTTAACAGCTCTGTCCCATGCCTAGACCATAGCTTGCATTTTTCTGTTTAAATGGATCGTTCCCACTTTTCCTGCGATGAGTGGACCTAGTTTTGGAGGCTGTGACATATGATTCACAGAGTTCTGTGCTTATCGTCAGGGGTCCACTTGGACCCCAGTTTCTTTGCTGTCACTATCCATGCTACCATAATTTTTATGCTTTTATAACAGTTCTTCTCTGGCTTTCCAGGAGCCTGAGGATGACGTGGCCTGGTGGCTGTAGGGCTTGGCTGCATGGGGCAGGTGCGAGGCCCCATAGGCCTCTGCCCCCTAGCAGAGAGGGAAGGCAAGGCCCAGGGAGGACAGGTGTGTGGCCTGCCAGCCATGGCTGTTTGCTCGCCCTGTGTGGGCAGCACCGAGGCCCAGACCAGAGGAACGCTGAGTTTTCACAAACCACTCTTGCCACGATGGTTTCCTTGTAACATAGCAGAGGGGCCCATGAAAAACTCGGGCTAACGGAGCATGGATCTTTAAGGTTTCAGAAGTTAGATTCCAGCCTCTTAATGGTCTTTCCACTAGTCAGGTTGCTGGGCTTTTGGAGCATTTTGGGGCAATGATAGTAAACAGTAGCAATGATAACTGACACTTACATAGTAATTATACACTCAGGGCACTATCCTAAAAGCATCATAACATGAGAGCAGCTCTAAGAGGAAGACATGAGTATTATCGACTTTTTATAGATGGGGAAGCTGAGGTGTAGGAGGTTCTGTCCAATGTCAACACAGAGAAACGTGGAAGAGCCAAGGTTTCAGCCCAGGTGACCTGGACTCAGAGCCCACACCCCTCACCGTGTCCTTCCCGCCGCTCAGCCTGGGTGTGACCTGGAAGGCGAGTCATCGCTACGAGAGCGGACAGCGGGAGAGGGGCCAGCTACTTGGGGCTCGGAGCTCTGGGGTTTATGAACCAGCTCGGGAATGCTTAATGTCTCTGCTTTAACACTCCCTGTAGTCCTGGAGCATTTATTGAGCACCTGTCGTGTGCCAGGGACATGGGAGCATGATCTGGCACAGATGTCGCTGGATGTGCATTTCCAAGTATCCCCCAAGTTCTTCACCTCTCTCTGGCTCTGGGAGGCCACGTCAGCCACCAGGAGCGGGGAGATCCAGCTGTGTCCAGAAAATGTCCTGGACTGAGTGTTGTTGGGGAGAGCAAGGAGGCAGAAGTCCTTGTCTTTGGAGGTGAGCTCATGGCTAATGATGGGGGTGGGACAAATAGAAGCACCTGGAAACAATAATGCAGGTGACATTGATATAAAGACCTAGTCTTACACAATTACAGATTTACCAAGACACCCTGAGACCACTTCTTGCTAACTGCAATATTCTAGAGGCGGGCCTCTCTTTTATTTCCCAGAACAAATTATTTTAAAGACTCTTGCCTAACTTATGGATGGCGCTTTTGCAAGCGGCAGGGATGTATGTGATGTACATGTGTACATTTTCTCCTCTGTATCCCTTACAGCTCCCAGGAGGGGAGCAAGGGAAGCAGGAATGAGCTCTTAGCTAGAATAGTTGCCTGGTGGGAAAAGCGAAGTTTTGATTGCATATCCAGGGGGATGCTGAGGTATTTGAGGGATCCAGAGAAGGTGGAACTTGCCTGGAAAGACTTCCTTAGGTGGTTCTCTAATCTCTGTCCCTGCTGAGAGACATCTGGTCTTGAGCGGGTCAGCCCCTGGGACCCCAGGACACATTTTCTGGGGGCACCTGTGGTAACACCCATGACAGACCTCCATGACAGGTGCAGGCAGGCCCCGTGACCACATCCCCCGAAAAGTGGTTTTGTTATTTGCGTTCCGTCCCATGGAGTTTTGCGGGGACGGCTGGGGCAGCATTGGGGGCTGGGTGTGTATCGTCTACGTGAGCACGCCTTTCTCAGGTAAAGAGCTACTTTGCTCACCTTGTGTGTCTCTGTGAGGAACGCAGGACTTCAAGTGTAATAGTTTGAAAAACCAGGAGACGTCAGCCAGAATGGGGAAGAATGAGCCGTTTCTAGATTCAGCACCTATGGGATCCTGCTGGGGTTGGCTTTAGAAATACAACCGAAGAATCCCAGAGGGCTTCTTTATCCCCAAACATTCCCCACCCTAGTTGCCTGTGATTTCACCATCCATGGTTCATTCTAATAAACACTCCATCAGCATCCAAATGGGGGAGCTCCCAGGCCTCGGGCCCCACCACCAGCCTGGCTAGACAGCAGGGAGAGCTGTCTCCTGAGGCCGGGTGTGGCTGAGAGCCCAGTGGGTGTCAGGGTGCTGGGACAATCGGAAAAAAAAGATTAAAAATCCCTCTTTCCCCTAACCCTCCTGAAGAGTGGGTTGGGGCATGTGGAGGACAAACTCTCTGGTCTTCACAAGTATGCCGTCTGGGCCCAAGTCTCACACAGGGAGGTTATATATAAACTATTGAGAGCTAATACACGCCCCCTGCGAATTCCCTCCCCCGACCCAAATAGAGCCATCCAGAAGCTTCTGCTGCTGGTAGGGTGACCAGCCCTCCTGGTTTGCCCAGGACCGTGAGCAAACCCTCTTTTGCCCCCAAACTCAGCAATTTTGAAGAAGGACAGACAATAGGAACCAGACCTATGGGAGTAAGTGAAACCTGTTTGGGAGCCAGTGTAACTGTATCAGGCCACTCACTCTTCCCCAAACACCCCGTTGTGACTCAGAGAATTTAATTCAGCTCCCCGACGGGCCTCCTTCCCTGTGTGGGTGTTGCAGGTACTTGGCACTGAACAGCGAGTGCCATCGCTTGGGCCACGACATCCTGGCTGCTGACACCCTCCTTCTCTTCCAGACAACCTCTGCCTCCTACAGGCGTTTGCTGGGCGGGTGCGTTTCCTGAGGGGCCGCGCGGTGCTTGAGGTCACGGAACGTCTGTCCGGTGAGCATCCTCGGAGCCTCTCGCTCCAGCCTTCCAGTCAGCTTCCTGGCATGAACCACCCACTATCTTAGAACCCCCAAATAATCCAATAATCCTCACAGGGCTTTTAGAAAATGTTTGATAATCTGCTTTTTAAAAATAATTCCCACATTACCAAAAGATAATCTTTGGTTTTGACCAAAATGAGGCAGGTTGGTACATACACAAAGTAGTTTTTAAGAAATGATGATGCATTTCTTCTTTGCAAACAGGACTTCCCCTAGCCCATAGGGTACCTTTGTGTGAATCAGAAAAACCCCCAGCTCTTCTGGGTAGACCCTCGCTCACGGGCGTGGGGCTCGGTCAGCAGCAGCCCTGTGGTGAGCATGAGAACTGTCCCTTCTTGGGCATGCACAGCCTGCAAAGCAGAGCACAGCCTGGATGCCAACCCTACTCAACCCCTTCCCTGGGCATCCGGGCCCATGTTACGCAGAATTTGGCCTGAGTCTGCTCTGCTTTGTTCAGGCTTTGGCTGAGGAGAGCTTGCTCCAAGCCAATGTCTGCTCTGAGTCTGCAGTCTCGAGTGATTTCATTCCAGGGCTGAAACCTCCTGTGGCCCTTGAGCTGGCAGCATGGAAAGGACACAGGCTTTGTGGCAGACAGACCCATTTGCCACACGCCAATTCTGGTCTTGGGCAGGTTACTTGGTTTTCTCATCTTTTGTGCTTGCCAGAAGCCTCCTCTCCCTTCTTAGGAATGTCCCATGCAGGAAGGAGGCAGAAGGACTCTGTTCTCTAGACCTCTGAGCACCCTTCCCCCTAACATGCAGACAGCGTGCAGGTGCTACCCCCATGCGTAAATCCTCGCATGGGTTGTCCTCAGGCTAGTGTCTGGCTCCCTGGAGTGGCCCACGAGGCCTGTCGCTGCCTGGCCTTCCAGGCTCTGCCCTTTCCCCCGCCTCAGTTGTATGCACTGGATCATTTAATCCTCATAACATCATAAGGAGGGCGTGGGTTCCATGATTATCCCCTTTAAAAAAAAAAAAAAGATTTTATATATTTATTTGCGAGAGAGAGAAAGAGTGAGAGCATGAGCCGGGGGAGGGGCAGAGGGAGAAGCAGACTCCCTGCTGAGCAGGGAGCCCGATGCGGGGCTCGATCCCAGGACCCTGAGATCATGACCTGAGCCGAAGGCAGATGCTTAGCTGACAGAGCCACCCAGGCGCCCCAGTGATTATCCCTTTTATAGAAATAAGGAAACTGGAGCTTAGAAAGGTTAGGTGCCCAAGGTCCTTTGCCGAGAAATCCAGGATTTGTCCCTGGGAGCCTGGCCACAGAGCCTCCCTGAGTGGCCCATGCCTCTGTCCCCTGGGCACCAGCATGCCAGCCACCCTGCAGAGACAGATCTCTCATTCCCTGTGCCTGCCCACATGCGGCTGGTGGCTTGTGGAGCCCCTTTCTGCCCTTCTTCCTCCACCTGGGTGGTGCCCGCCCGGTTCTGGTGCCGGCCTCTGGGTCTCCTTTCTCTCTAGCCCTCCTGCCTGAGTTTCCCGAGCCTCCCAAGACCAGGTCCCACCCTGTGCCAGCCCTGGTCCGCATTGGGGTGCTCAGCACATGTTGCCTGACTGAGGGTGTCATTCTGTGCCTACACCACCCTATCTCTTGCCCTTGCCCGTGCCTCTGTGCCCTGGTTCAGTCCTCCCAGTGTCCCTGGAGTGGACCCTCACCTCCCATCCAGGTGCCAGGCCTTCTCCAAACTTCGGGGCAAGCAAAGTAGGGTTGGGGGCCACAGTGTCACGCTCTTGGTGCCCAGGGGCCATGTAATGGAGACCACCTGGCCACCATACAAGGAACCCTTTTCTGTTGCTCAAAATCTGTGTTCTCTGGTTGAAACCCTTACCTGTCCTTGTACAGGTGATATATGGGCCCCAGAGGTGGATGGGTACCTCACTTTAGATTATCCATTTAAATGTAAATATTTTCTACCTGTTTCCAAGAGACCTCAAAGCCAAGAGTTTCTGCATAGCTGTCCTGGTAGGTCGGTGTCAGCCAGGAGCAGAGAAGAACATTTCAGTTGACACAAGGTGTGGACTAATAATAGCACAGCTTAACAGGAGTAGATCTTTTGCTAATTACTTCAGCTGCCTTGTAAGCTCCAATTGAATGGGGTTTTCTTCCTCATGATGACTCCCAGAAGGGCCACCGCCTGCCTTTGCTAACTTGAGAGGCCCACCGCCGTCAGCCAGGTGACCTCCGCCTCCCGGACCCGGGGAATGTGGGCCTCACTGTAGAAGTGAGCTTCCTGGGCCCACGTGTGATCGCCCGACTGCTGGGAGGGAGAGTTCAGGTGGGAGTGCGGCGTGCCGGGGATGGGGGCCGGTGAGGTGGGGCGGGTGAGGGGCAGGTGACCCCTCACCCTTTGGTGGGCACGGGGGAGCCCTGCCTGGGCCTGGTACTTGGGATAGTTCTCACATTGGTTTGCAGGTGGATCCCATGGAGCCTTAGGAAGCCTTTGAGTTATAATTGTTCAGCATAGGTGGCTAATTGGGATCACTGGTTTTCTTTTGTTCCCTCTGGCTACCCCCCACCCCCTGACCTCTCCCTTGCTCCTCCTAGCTTCCCACCTTGGGGCTGCCCTGGTGGCTTTCCTGGTACCTATGCCCTCCTCTGAGCCTGTCTCCAGCTTCAGCGTTTCTAGCAGGTCCCACCTCTGTCCCACTTTATGAAGCTGCTCACCAGCCAACATGGCTGGGCTGACTCACTAGGTGCAGTCCTGCCTTCCCCGGGAACAAGGGCCACCTTTACTTCTGAGGCTTCGGTGACACTGGGGAGCCCCCAGGGAGGCCCCACAGGGTGGGGTGCAGGAACCCTGAGGGTGTGGCTTGAAAGCCAGCATACACGCTCCATGGGAAATGACACTGCTCCAGTGGCAGGCTTTGCTGAGGGGGGTCCAGCTCATCTCTGACCCCCTATTGTCCCAGGCTCTGGCCCTGGAGTCCGAGGGGCCCTGTGGGAAACACCTGAGGGGTTGGATGATGTTACACTGGTGAAGGAAGGACAAATTGGAGATTAAAAATAAAACTCCACACCAGCCCCTGACATGTGGAACCCCTAGAGACTTGGGGTCATCGAGGGGTGCACAGCGTGAGCTTTGGAGTCGAGGCAGGCTCTTGCCCTCGTTAGCTGTGTGGGCTGGGGCAAGCTCCTTGACCCGAGTGCTGGCTTCCCCCTCTGCGAGATGGACCGGTATCCTGCTTCTCGAAGCACTATGAGGACAATGGAGTCACGCTGCAGAACTCTGAGCCCCAGACTCTGGACTCGGACAGTGTTAGTTTCCCAGGTGTGTCTCAGCCCAGGGAACGTTCCAGTTTCTTTGCTCCATCAATAAGTGAAGTCCTTTGCTCTCACCAGCACTTTTCCTTTGGCAGGAGGACAGGCAGACTTCACTGATTGTATAGAAAAAGCATTGTTAACATGGATGCCCTCAGGGTAATGTGGCCTCGGCTGAAGGCTGGAGGGGCCCCTGTGAAGTGACTTAGGGTGCTCTTGAGGTGGCTTTGACCCCGGCATTTACTCTGGAATGGAAGGTTTGCTGGCAGGGGTAGCCTGCTTATGTGTTTTTTGGGGACAAAAGAAAGTAGAGGGCCTTGGAGAACCAGATGTGGGGGGTTCATCACTGAATCAAGGGTCTGTGCAGAGCTTGATGGTTGACAAAGCACATTGACGCCTCCTGGATTACTGCTGGTCTTGTTGTGGGGTTTGGCATCCAGACACTGGGGAGGCCACACTGGTCTTATCTCCTGCTGGCTGCTTTATTTTTCAGAATACTTCATTTGAGAGAGTGTTGACTTTTCTCCCTGGTATGGTTTTTCTCTGTTGTATGAACTCAGAGAGGTGGGAATGTGGATTAAAGTAATACTAGATTGCAGTCCAGGTGTATCTGCGTCTTTCCTCTCCCCGGGGCTGCAGGGACCAATTACGACCATCATAGGCTCTGAGTACTTTTGCCTTTGCATACTCATTCCTCCATTAAAAAAAAAGTTAAAAATTGTATTTTATAACTGGCTGGTATAAACATGAATATAAATGAGGTTGGATATCTTCATATTTTTTTCTTTTGATTTTAAAAGGAATCAAGCCATTTTCATGGGCCCCTAAATGTGTCCTGAGCCTTAGCTGGTGCATCTAATGGACTAGTTGGCCCTTCTGGGCGGCCTGCCCTTTGCGGGGGATAGAGTTGTTGTCCCAAGAGAGGGCAGCAAGAGAGGGAGAGAGTGCCTGCCTAAAGTCAGTCTCCCCGTTTTCTGTCCAACAGCGCTGGTGGCCTCCGTGTACCCCCAGAGGCCCCAGGCTGTGGAGCGCCATGTCCTTCCAGTCCTCTGGTGTTTCCTGGGCAACATGACTGGGAACAGTGTCCTGCCCGGGCACGGCGGGAACGTCCGCACAGTGGCGCGTCGGCTGTCCAGAAGCCTCCAGGAGCACATGGGCTCCCGGCTGCAGGACCTGGCTGCTGGCCAGCCACGGCAGGTCCTCAGAATGCTCCAGGACCTCCTAGACGCAGCGTCCCCGTGAGGCAGCCCCAACCAACGTCACCGACAGAGGGATGGCATCGGACAGCAAGACAACGGGCAGCTCACACCCCTTTCAACCGGCTGAGAGACCTGAAGCGGGCAGTCGTTATTTCTTACTTTATTTTATTTTTATGATGGAGTCATCTCCAGGTCTACTTTCTCTTAGAGTTCCAGATGTACATAGTATATTTTGAAGTAGAAATAAAAGAAGTACTTATTTTTCTAAGGTCTTGTACTTTTTTAACCTGAGAATTTTTTAATAACTAGGGTTGTCACAAAGGACACAAGACAACACAAGACCAGCTGCAGATGGCACAGGGATGAAGAGTCAGGGAGGAAGAGTGTAGCACAAACCCACATGGTGTAGACCGTGTCTGGGCACAGCCCCCCATCTGTGAGAGGCTAGGCAGCCCTCCGCAACCCAGAGACCCTGAGTTGGCCATTCAAATCCAGTTCAGTTGTTAAAAGGCTGATTCGAGGTGAGTAGAACAACCCTCTCTGGGGTTATCCTGCTTCTGCCTTAACAAAATCTTCCGAGGGAGAGTTTGACATTTGCAATCCTGAAAGCCTTCCCTGGAAGCCGACATTCTGGCTAGTTCTACAGAGGACTAGATGATGCTTCACACTTGAAATACCATCCATGAAAGCACGTGGTGGACTTGCAGGGGTCATGTGGGAACTCTGAAATTGCACAGCTGCCCCCCCCCACACACTTAGGCTGGGTCGCGAAGCTGGAGGGGTGCACTGGATGCAGCATGTGCCAGAACACGAGCAAGCTGAGAGAAGGTGTTGCCCACGGATGCAGCAGCAGGAGAAATGGGGTCCTGCGGGAAGAGAGGGAGGTCTGGGGCTGCGGCTCTGGACACAGTAGGAGTGGCTTTGCCTTGTCTGGGGCCAGTTAAGTTGACAACGGTGTGACCAGGAAGAATTAGAGCTCGGATCATGACCTCAAACACACGGGGAAGGTGAAGGCTGAGGGGCAGCGGCCTGGTCCCAGCCAAGGAACACAGCCAGACCCATAGCAACGCTCTGGGGCAGATCCACATGGCTCAGGCCCTCAGACCCCAGCACCCTGCCAGCAAGTTTTCTGGCAGACCCCACCAGTGGACCCCCTCCACTGTCGCCCACCCCTAGGTATAATATCAGTTCCACATCACTGTTGTGAGCCTCTCCTGAGGAGGATGGCCCAGAGCAGGCTGGGGAGCCCCAAATCAACTCACTTATTTCCAAGTTCATGGGTACCCCTGGCTGAGAAAGCCACTTTTTCATCTTGCCTATGTCTCCCGGTGCAGCCAGTCAGGCCCCCACCCTCCCAAGGCCCTGGGGTGGGGTTTTGTAAACACAGCCAATCCTGTCCCCTTCCAAAGGAGAAAATAAATAAATAAATAAATAAATAATTTTCATGAAGGCAATTTGTTTCCCAGGGTCTATATTTCCTTTCTGTCTCATCTGCTGGTTTTTACTACTTTGGGGCACTGGCAATAAAGTGAGAGAGCTGTCTCCTGGAGTGCTGTCTGTTCCAGCCTGCGGTGGGGGGGTGGGTTCACCTGGAAGCCCACTTTGGGGTTCATGGCAACAAGGAACAAAGACTTTTTTTTGGAAAAGATTTCTTTTTTTTCTTAATGCCAGGGGCAGTTTTATATGTGTGTGCAGGGGAGGGACGGGGAGTGGCAGAGGTGCGTAGAGGTGATTATAGAAAATTATTCTCTTGGAAATTTTGTTTTGAATTTCCATCCAAGCTAGTTGCAGAAAAATGGCTAAAATTACAGCTGGCCTTTGGCTGGATCTGAAAAACAATTTTCTATTTGTCAATGTTGGAGAAAACTAAGCATTTCTTCCATGGAAGGTTGTGGTGTCCTTTGGAATAACCTCACTCCTGCTGGCAGTCAGTGTTAGAACCAAGGCTGGGCAGGAGCTGGGGAGCCCCACTTGCTGGTCAAGTGTCTTTGACATACCCCAGCCTCCTTTTTTTCATTTGTCAAAGGTGTTGAAAAAAAGACTTACTTTTCATCTCATGCAATTAAAAAAAAAAAAACCTAATAAAACACTGTAGATGATCATATTTTGAAAATGTAGAGTGTTACACACAAAGAAAAGGTATAATTATTATAAACTCCAGCCTCAACCCAATAAGACCTGCTGTTCAGGAGGCACTGAAGTCATTCCTGGCATCTGACTGACAGATCACCCACGACTCAGCATGGGAATAAGTGGGAGATTCTGAAGCTTAATTTTTTTTCCCCCCCGTTTGGAATAGTTGACATTTGTAGTCATGATGGCAAGCAAAATGTTTTAAAGTCTTTTCACTTTGAAAGATATGGAATCCTATGGAGAAGGAAGTCAATTCTAGCTGAGTTTGACAGCTATTCTTAATTTTCTCCAAGAATCAAAGCACAGATCTGGAAGGAGGGGGATATCCTACTTTCTTTTCTTAATCAGAATGTTGAAGTGCAGAGATGGCAGAGATGAACGTTACAAACAAAAGTGGGAGAGGGATCATCAGTTCAGTTCTTCCAGAGAGCTCAAAAAAGATGGTTTGGAAGAAGCGAGTTTGCCTGTGACTTGTAGATGGCAGGGTATGGAGGTTGGCATTGCCATTGCAGCTTTCCAGATGAAGGAACAGGCCCCTAGAAGCCAGGTCGCAGGGCGGGGGTGATGGAGGTGTGGGGCTTAGGCTTCTGGGTCCCAACCATCGGGAGTGGGATAGACTCCAGCTCCCCAGGGTGACCGACACATTCACCACGCCCTCCTTCTTTCTCTTCCTTCTCCTTGTTTCTCCATTCATCATCTTCCTCGGACTCAGGCCCACCAGTCTTGTCTCGGGGCATTACCTGATTCCTGCTGGGGCTGCCATTCCAGCCAAAACAGGTTGTTGACTTGTGTGCGAGACGTCAAGGGTGTCTGGAATTACAGCATTCAGGACCCGGGCTATGACATGGGTGGAATTCTGTAGTCACAGGGCCCACAGGCTATCGGTCAAGTTACTTTCTGAAGCCCATGAGAGTAATCAAGCCAGCAGTTTTCAGGGTCCTCCATAAGAGTGAATTAGACTGTGGAGTGAATTAACCGCTTGCTCCTCTGTGTGTGCAACTCATCTTTAATTACATTTCATAAAAATGTCAGGATGGATTGATGGAAGTTTATTTAAACTTCAGGTAGGCACAGGGAGTAAACCACAGTGCAGTATAACATGTTCTGTTAATATAGGCCCAGAACACATTTACTTTATGGCAGTTCAACAGAATCTCTGACGTGAGGCTACTTAAAAATATATTACCTTTGCAAAGCTTTCCTTGGGAACATGCAGTGGGTGTGGGCAGCCTGTAAGCAGTCAACCAAATGATCAATTGACAAACATGTTGACACTTAAAATTTACTGCATCAACTCCCCTGATACATGCAAAACACTGGTTTATTTCAGAAAAAAGAATGTATTTCTCAAAACCCCTTTCATTTATGTTGCAGTGTTGATGAGACAAGTCTTATCAAACAAAAGCTTTTCACAGTGAAAGAAAAGTCTCTTCGTCTGCCCTGCATTTTCTATCAACATGGATTATTTCAGGTTCTGAACTGGGTACATGATGTAAGGAAAGAACTAGATGCTGCTCAGAGTGAACAGCCACACAGATCCAGGCTGTGGACAGAAGTTATATTTCGTCTTGAAGATTGTATTTATCCTTGCAAAAAGCTATCACTGTTCCACCAGAATATTACATCTGCGTTCTTCCTCCATGAATCCTTTTGATGGAACTGCAAAATTGTGTTTTTCCCTTGGGGCACAGCTATATGCTACGTCACTAATGTGTTAGATAAAGAGCTGGAGCACCTCCCTCTCCTCAGCTCTGGGGGTCTCCGTGGGTGTTGACAATGGCTGGACACCCCTGGAAAAGAGTTGGCCCAAACAGGAATATGGGTAGAATACGCACCTCTGAAATTGGTCTCCTTTTCTGGGGTGAGCTCTCTTGTGCCTTTATACCCAACATTCCTTCTTGGTTTCTAACTTTGGGGAGGAAAAGTGCAGACTCCTGAGTCCTTAGTGGGTTGCATCTATTGGTGTCATTATTTTAAAAAGACAAGACAAAACTGAAGCCCTGCTCTCCCCTCTCCTTGGAGCCCAGGAAGTGGATTGGGCTCAGCAAGGACAAGTTCTTGGGTGGAGGGAAGGTGGGTGGGTGAGAGTGACCCATCTGAGAAGTTGTGGGACTGGGCTTGTCCCTCGTGACCACCAGCAGTGTGCTTTCCGAGGCAGAACCAGAGACGTGGGTTCCAGTAAAGGCCTGGTCTCAAGGAGGGGTGAAACCGAGTGGAAGCCACACAAGTTGCCTGTTGTAGTACATTTAATTTCTTTTGTCCAATGTCCAACCACCCGTGATTTGGGCTAAGTCTCGTGGTTGGGATGGTAGCCAGGAAACCACGTCTGTGCACCATCTGCTCCAGGGCTGGCTGGGCCCTGCTTCACCTGTGACCTTTACTGCCTCCCAGCCCCTTGGCTCTGGCGACCCCTTCCCCAGGAGAAGCCGACTTGGGGCTCTTGGAGCAGTGGGGTCCTTGGCCAACATGATAGTCTCTATCAGCTCATTGTCCTGGCTGCTTGGGCCTAGAGGTCTCTTACTGCATCATGTACGGGGCTCTGTGGCAGGAGCCCAGCACTCTCCTGGCACAAGCAGGTGCTCAGTAAATGCAGAGGGATGAGGAGGAGCCCTGAGCTGCCCCGGGGCTGACGCAGGGACCCTGGAAGCCCTGTGTTCATCCACTGCTGTCTGCAGCGTGGGGACGGTGGGTGCCCACTGCTGCTTAGAGGCCTAGCTCGGGGGAGGGGGTGACTTCTGCTCTCAAGAGAGCCTCCTGCCAGGCACCCTCAGGGAGGCTCGTTCCAGACTCTTCCAGGGCATTCTCTCTGATGCTGACCCTTCTGGGAGGTAATAGGCTGCCTGGCTCCCAGCCACCCACACCGAGCTTTCGTTGCTGCAACGGGGTGCACTGGGCCCCCACCTACAGACTCACACTAGCCCCAAACCTCTAAGAGGGGGCCCTTTAACGGGGAGCTTGGCCTCACTTCTGCCTCCTACAGATCTGGCTCCCACTTCCTATCCTGGTTCCCAGAACTAGACCTTTTATTGTCTCTGTGGTTACACCCCCATGTTGTCTCACTATTTCATGAATGGTGGCCCTGTCCAGCCTCCCATTGTTTCTCTGTTTCTGCTGTGTTTCTTCCAACCTCTGGAAGTCTGCCCCTAAACCCTAGCCCAGGGCCCCTACACCCTAGCCCGGGTCTCAGCTTCAGACCTCAGGAAGTCTGCCCCTAAACCCTGTCTGCTTTCCGACAGCCTTCCCTGAAGCTGCTCAGCCATGAGCCGCCTCTCCTGGCCTGCTTGCTTCCCCTCGGCTCGGTGCCCAGCCTGCCCACACCCTCGTCACCCTTCGGCAGCTGGCCTGCCCAGGTAGGCAGACTGGCCAGTTCTGTAGCGAGCAAGTTTCCTAAACCTGGCTGTTCTCACGCACTTACCTCAGCCCTGCCCTACCCCGGGAGCTGGACTTCCTCCCACTTCCTGGGGCCCAGGCGGTTCTCCCAGGTCCACCCACTCACCCCTGCGTGGGGCTCGGCCCAGAACCCACCCTGCTGTGCCCGAGCTCTGCTCTGACAGCGCAACCCCACAGCAACCGTGTGGGTGTGGACAGACATTTCCCAACCGAGGGGTGCCGTGTGGCCCCTCCTGGTAGTTTAACCAACTATTCCTTGGGTGCCTTTGAAGAGATCAGCCTGGTCACCCCTATTTTAATAACTGGACAAGTCAAGGTGAATTCATTTACAGGTAGCTGTAATCCCCAGGACCCAGCATAACACGTCCTTGAGCCATGGTCTATTTCAACAAGAAAGGACTTGAAGTCATAATTTTCCCAAACTTAAAAAAAAATCAGCTTTGCAGCAGATCTGCAGAATGACCCCCCTAGCTGTACCCCGTGGGTGAGAATTCTTGTCTTTTGACAACCCACTGAGCCGGCACTGAATCACCCAATTATTGCAAATTCATTTCTAAATAGAAAGCACTCCGCAGCCACCCATGGAAACATTCCAAGATCTGCAGCTAATATCTAGCGCATTGGCATGCACGGTAGTTCTTCACTTCCATTTTAACCTCGGCAGAAGTTGTGCGGATGACTTGGGAATAAAGTTGGCCGAGAAGCCCCTGGGGGAGACTGGCAGGCGCACGAGTGTTTGTGTGCCTGGGTGTACGTGCGTGTGTGCACATCCTCCTGAGCTCCAGCCCCCGCGGGGCGTGGAGAATAGGCTGCTTGTTTGCAAGGCTTGGTTGCACCCACCCAGTTTGAGAGGCATGTGGATGCGTGGGGCAGAGCATCCGAGACACGCCTGCCTCTGAGACACAGTCCGAGGCCGCTCAGCCGCAGGAGTGGGCTGGAAGCTTGGTGTTGAGGGCTTTGGGTCTGTGCTTGGGAGGGAGGAGAGGAAGGAGGGTGTGTGTCTTAATTCCACCTCAGTCTTCCCATCTCTGGAGCAGTCAGCTTCTAAACAAAGCTCTCAATGGTGACTTGAATGCAGTGACACTATTTAACCTTAAAAAAAACCACAAGGCTTTCCAACCATTTGTAGACTAGGTTTGCTTTAGGCAGATGGAGCGAGACTGGAACGAGAAACAAGGGATTCTGGGGCCAGCCACACCTGTTGGAATTTTTGCTCTGTTCTCTTCCTAGCTGTGTGACCTCAGGCAAGACTCTTTCGGGCTTGGGGGAAGGGGCACTTTGGTTTTCTTATCGGCAAAACCCAGAGAATGCTATCTGCTTCATTCTTCGTTGTGCGGATTAATTGAGTCCAGGAAACTAACCCAGGTAAAACCCCCCAGCTCATCAAGCATTCGACAAATGCATTTTCCCCTAAATTAAGGCCAGTACTCGAAGGATTAAAGAGTGTCACTGTGGGGTCCAAAGTTATAGTTAGCCTTTGTACCCCAAGGCAAACCAGACTCTGGGGCTGAAAATGGCAAAGGTTTAGAATTTAGCAGACTCTCGGGGCAGTGCACCTTCCGGATCTTTCTAGGAGTAGGAGTTTGGTTGACCCACCCTCTATGGGACAGTCTGGTGCTTGGCTGTCACCCATCGCCTTCTGGGGTGACTGGCATCCGTGTGACCCTGTTGGTTGGCCTGTCAGGCTACTTCCTTCTGTTGAGGCTTGTCCTGGGCACGGCTGGTTCTGGCCTCCCGTTGCAGCCTGTGGCCCAACACGCAGAGTTCTGGGGGAGAGGCAGCCCTGCCACCGCCCCTCAGTTCTGGGGCACAGGGGCTGTTCCATGGCTCTGTGTCCTTCTTGGGGCTCTCCTCACTGCTGCTGCAGAGAAAAAGGACAGATGCAGATCAAACACTCCTCAGTTGTTCCTTCTGGCCCCCCGTCCCCGCTCCCCTCCGCCCCCATCCATCCTACCTCTCTCAGTCCCCACGGTCTGTCTCACCCACAGGCCCGTGGACCCCCGTGCCAGGCCTCCGCCCTTCCTCACCAGGATTGCCGGGCTGGTGCCGTGCTCATGCTTGCCTGCTCTGGTCAGGCACTGTGGGAGCCGAGCCCCCGGTGTTTGTGCCGACAGGTTGAGTCCTGTTCTCCTCCTCATGCCCAGGATCCCGCTGCTCTGAACAAAGCAGCTCCCTCAGGAACTCTGGGAGCTGGGCCTTTATTTTATTTTTGTTTTTAAAGCACTTCTTGTTTAATAAAGGGCTAGGCTTAGCTAGCCTAAAAAAACCCCAAAAAACAAAACCCCACCACACCCTGCTTTGCTCAGCAGCCACCCTTTTCCTGAACAGAGTAAAATGCCAAGTGCTTGGCCCAAGCCTGGCATTTGGCTAGAACAGAGCCTCCCAGCTGCTGAGTGACCCAGCGAGAGGGCCTTTGAGGGGAGAGGGACACCCAGTGTGCATTGGGGGTGCAGAATGGAGGAGGATCACAAGCGTGGAGGAAGCTCAGGCCAGAAGGGGGACCAGCTCCGGAAGCCACACGGGCTGTGTGCTGGCGGGCTGGCCTCATCCTTACTGCCTGGACGTGGGAATCCGGCTGTCTGGGTTCGAGTCCTGCGCTAACTAGCTGTGTGTCCTGTAGCACATTCATTAATCTCTCTGATTCCCAGTTCCCTTCTTTGTAGAACGGAGATGATGATAGCACGCATCTCACAGGGCGCTCGAAGGTATCAATACTGGGTGAGGCGTGCAAAGTAAACTCTTCGCATACGAACCAGCACATGATAAGCGCTCAGTAAACGACCAGCTGTCATGCTGGTCCTGCTTCGTAGCATGAACAGGAAGTCACGCCTGGAAAGGAAACTAGGGACCACCCTGTCACATGACAGGTAGGCACCTGAGGGTCAAGCCTCGCCATCAGTCACCTCAGGTCCAGGACTGGACCCAGCTCCCATGTGCAGAGACCCAGAAGGTCCTTCTCTCTGCCTCTGACAGCAGGTTCTTAACCATGCCCTGAGCTTTATTCCGCAGCGTGCTCAGCTCAGTGGTTAGGCTTCCGTGAGATGTTGAACCGGTGGAGGGCAAGTTTGAGTCTGGATCCCACTCAGATGAAGGTGGCCGGAATGTGGGGTGAGGTGCGGAACTAAGTGAGGAACTAAGATGGGCATACACGTGATTTTTAGGCTGTGAGAATCGTACTGTGTTCCTTTGAGCCAGCCTCACCCATGCTGGCCTCGGGCCTCGGGCCCAGTTCCCAGGCCCTGAGTGATCAAGTGTGATTTTGTGCGCAGGACCAGCTCCCACCTTCCTTGCTTCTTCTCCCTGTGCCCCTTTTAGAGCAGGGAAAGGCATGTGCAGGATGCACCTCCCCTGGGACCCTTTGCTGCTCCCCGACTGGAGTAGCTAGCAGGAAAGGGAGGGGCATGCCTGGCGTGCGGTGTCAGTGGAGGTGAAAACGATTTTGTCCTAGAACCGTGTCTTCCCCGACCCCAACCAGGTTCCACACCTGTGTGAGGCTCAGGCTAGGAGGGAGATTTTCCTGGTTGCCACGATGTGGCCGTGGTTCCGCCTGATCCCAGAATGGCTGGGGAGGCAGGCTGGCCAGGCGCTGCCCCGCTGGTCGGTTGGGACCCTGATCTGGGAAATAGGGTTGGGGGATTGGGCGGCAGAGAGCCCCTGCCTGGGTGGTCCAGTCTAAGCAAAGACTAAAAGCACTGTATTTAGGGGAGAAAATCTGGGCCCTTCTTGAATGTTCACAGCGCCCCAGCGTGCTAAGACCTAGAGACGGCACCTCTGCCAGGGGATTCAAAACATAAATAACAGGTGAAGCTGTAATTGAGATTGTTGTAACTGAGCTTCCTAGGTGAGCCTCCAAGGACCGTCCCCAATCCCCTGGGCCCCAAGATCGGGAGGATATAAACATCATCATTTTTTCTATAAAAGGGGCTTGTGCCTGGCATGGGATGACGAGAAGTAGGTCAATGCCAGGTTAGGCCAGGTCATCCTGTCTCTGCCGCTACATACCATGCGGTGGGTTGCATCCCTGCAAGTCCCTGCTTGGGGAAACAGCCCGTTCTGAGTCTTTCCGGCTCTCTGGCACTGGCTTGTTGGCTAGTTGCATGATCTCAGGCAAATCCTGCCTACTTCCTTGGTCTGGTTTCCCGTATGCAGGAGGGCAGGGAACAGGGTGGGGAAACAGTGCTTTTCTAGCTGGCATGCTTCTGCTCTCAGATGTCAGCTTTACAGGGGTGGAGGGGTGGAGGGAATGGGGGATGAGCATTTTCCCATCACATCCAGCACATGCTCACAGTTTCAGTTCCGAGTGGCTCGGAGGTGTGGTCTTACCAGGAGGCAGGGGAAGGAGTGTGAGCCATTATTGCGACCTTCCACGCAACCTTGGGAAGTCTCCCGTTTATGAATCCTCCTTTCTTTCAAGCTACAAGCACTTCTCCCCACCCCCCCAGCCCATCTCCCTAAGTATTGAGATTCAGGACATAAAACAACCTTTTAGGCTGCCCTATTCCGTGGAGAAGCCTGAGAGAAGGGCATTATTTTCCTCTTGAACAATTTTATGTTACTTTATTATTGCTCCTGCTGTTTTAAAATGTTAGTGTTTTTAATTAATGCCATTTTATTGTCCCTGTTCTCCCAAGCTCTTCTCCTGAAGGGCACAGTTTTAGAAATGTAATAAGAGAATAAGTGGCTAGCGTGAGGGGTAATGCATTAACATTTATCGAGGTTCTTAGATGAAAAGCACTGTGCTGTAGGCAACTCATTTTAGATTTAAGAAAAGAGCAGCATTACATGAAGATTCTTGCAAAAATAATCAATACTTCATTTCTTTCAAGTGGCTGGGGAAGTTTATATAACTATAATAATGCACAACTTTCCCTAGATAATTTTATTTAAAATCGACTGCCGAGTACTTTGTAAAAAATTACCATTTATGCCTCCACAGATTGTGAAGTCTGTAACATGTATCACACTGGCCGAAATAAACTGCTGATTGACTCAACAGTGGGCATTTCGAAGACAGCAAGGACTGTGCTGGTTAGCTTTGTCCCATCTGGTATCAAGACACACTGATAAGAGCTCTTCTCCAACAGGGTCTCAGATAGACAGTTTTCTGCCCATGCTGCATCCTGGAGAAGATGCATTTCCCCATGTGTTCTACCCACTTGGGCATATGTGTCTTTCTTTCCATGTTCAGGCAATGGCTCTACCATGCCTCCTGACCTGTTGCCATCTCATGCCCAGGCCTGCCTACATGGCTGGGCCAATGACCTGTAAGTCAGCTGCCCTCTCGAGAAAGGCGCACTTGGAACTCGGTCTGCCAAGGGTATTGATGGCCATCCTTCCACCTGATTCTGGTACTCGGTGCCCATGAAGGGTCTTGTTCTTGCTCTACACACCTCCAATCGGGTAGATGGAGGTGAGGCTAGAATGGAAGAGAAGTGGAGGCAGGTCTTTGGGGGTGTGGGAAAGCTAAACATTTATAGTCCATACCTCTAGGACCAGTCGTCTCAAGGTATGTCCCCTGGGTGTCCCCGAGACACTTTTGAGGGGACCTATGAAGTCAAAACTATTTTCAAAATACTGTCAAGATGTTATTTGCCTTTTCCACTCATTCTTTCATGAATGTAGAGTGGACTTTCCCAGTCTACGTCTTGTGTGATGTCCCACCAGATGCACTACCGAAGCAGGTCTGAGAAGGCCACCATCTTTCCTGGAAGCCAGACATGAAGGGAATTTGCAAAAATATAAGACAATGCCACTCTTTCCACTAAATGTTTTTGTTGTGGAAAATATACCTACTTTTAATGGTAATGTATAATGGGGTCATTGAGAAAAACTAATAAGTATTTTAAATATTTCTCAATTTTAATGTATAATACAGTAAAAAGTGATAGATAGAACCCACCTGCACAAAGGTTCTTTTGGGTTCTCCATAATTCTGAAGAGTTTTAAAGGGGTCCTGGGGCCAGAAAGTTTGAGAACCTCAGTAAACCAGAGAGAACAGAAATCCGGCTGCTGGTTCCAGACCGTGTGACAGTGACTCAGCATGGGGTGGAGGGGGTGGGTAGTCACGTCATCTCTTTTTCCTCAGGTGTAAAATAAAGGGGAGGCTGTGCTTGGATTAATGTGATTGTTTTAAACTCCGTTTTTTAACACAGCAGAGCTTCTTTCAATTAAAATCTTTCTCGGGAACCTGAAACGAGCGACAGATGAAAGCACAGCTGCTCAAGGATGGGTCCCAGGGCGGGAGGCTGGATATCCCTCAGCCCCCTTTTCCTCTGCCTCTTCCCTTGGACCCCAAGGGCCTCTGGGCTCTATTGGATTAGCGCAAGGCGGTGGCCCGAGGATCCTCCTTACCTGCTCCTGCTGAGTGCAGATTCCCAAGCGTCGCAGGTGGCACCGGGGACAGGCAGCCCGAGGCGGATACTCGGCCGGCGGTCAGAAGCCGTCCTTCTGATGAAAGGCTGAGGGTTGAGGGCACACAGAGCCGGGCCCCGCTGGGAGCCCGCCCTCAGCCGTGGCCCCGAGCTCCTCCAGCCTCCTGCGGGGGTCCCCCGAGGGCCGCCGGCTTCAGGGGCCAGCGAGGCTGGGGTGCGTGGGTGGGCTGCTGAGGGGGGCGGGGCAGCTTCAAACAGAGAGGAGGTGGCCGGGCAGAATATGGAGCACGTGTTCCCGCATGCCTTAGCTGTGGCTGCCCGACTGTCCTCAGGGTCTCCTGTTTGCTGGGGCCCCTGAGCAGGGGACACTGGGGGGGACGGGGAGGGGCCAGAGGAAGGGGAACTCGCTTCTGTGTGCCGGGTAGGGGGGCTGGAGGCCTTGTGCTGTGCGGGTGGGCTCGCGGGGGGAGTGCTGGGCGGCTTGTGCCAGGGTGGGGGGGAGGCTCCTTCCTTCGTCCCTGGGGGGCTGAGCACCGTGGGGCTTACCGGAGGGCTGATGGGTGGGCTGGGGGAGCCGTGCACGGAGGGGACGCTTGGCTGGGCAGATCTGTGAGAGGGGAGCTGCCTCCTGTCCGCTCGGGCTGTCCAGTGTCCCCTTGCGGCAGAGGCCTTCCTGACCAGCGAGGGGCTTCTCTCCTGGCTCTGCCTGGGGGCCTCGGGAGAATGTGGCCCTCGTGTCGGCCTGGCCAGGCTGGGTTCCAAGGTGCTGTTCGGCCCAGATGTGTGGCTGGACGGGTGCCAGGGGATGGCCTTCTGGGGATGCTTGGACAGGCTGGTGGCCCTGTCTGCGGGTGCCTGACTCTGAGCCCCTCTGCCCTCCACCTCTGGGTTTCCGCTGGTTGCTGGTGGGTGGCTCAGGTCCAAGGTGAGCTTTCTGGTACTGCAGCCACTCTTGCTGCCCCCTGGCCCTGTGCTGTGGGGCCTGGTGGGGGCAGTCGTGCTCTTGCTGGGTAGCAGGTCAGTGGGGCTCATGGAGGCTCTGAGCTTTGGGGAAGCCCACGTTCTCAGGGCAGGGTCAGCCCCTCCCGGCCCTGGTGCATGGGTCCCGTTGGAGGAGCTTCCTGCTGGCTTGCTGCTCTCTGGGGGCTCCAGAGAGGTGAACGATTTGTCCATCAGGATTTCCAGAGGCGGTGGAGGCAGATGCTCTGGGTCCTCTTCTGTTTCATAGTTGAAATTGAGGTCCTCCCTCTTGGACGCTCCTGCTGTCAGCAGAGGGGGGGAAATAGGAGCTAAGGGCCTCCAGGCTGGGCCCAGCTTGAGAGATTCTCCACTCGCTGCTGGAGAAATTCGGGGCTTTGGATACAAAGGGGCAAGCCCCCTATAAATGGGAAATCTGGGGGGCATGAGGGGGACCCCCCACTTCCTGAGGCAGGGGCTTGGCCTGGCGTCCTTGGAATCTCCCAGGGTCCTCAGACTCTCAGTGGGACTAAAAGTTTCAATGAGTTTCTTGACCGATGTTCTGGTGGGACAGCCCCTGACATTCCAGTCCTCGGCCCCCCGAGCCTCACTGGTCTTCTCACCCGATGGGATGACGACTGGCAGCCCCTTAGGCTCCCCCTGCCGGGGCTGTTCGCTCTCAGGGCGGGGACTGCATTTCTGCACGATGCTCTTGTCCTGACTCGGTAAAATGACGAAGGTCTTGGTGAGGGATGCCTTCAGCTTGCTGCTGGTGATGCTCGGCGCGCTCCCGCAGGTGTCGGACCTCCGAGCCACGGCGCGGGGCTGCGCAACCTGCTCCGGGCTCTGCCCCTGCTGTCGCGCACCCAGGGCGTAAAATGCCTCCAGCCTCCGGCTCAGGTCTCTCTGGACCCTCTGCAGCTCCTGGAGGGTGGAGTCCTCCACTTGGCTCTTCAGACACCCCTCTGACTGGGACCTCCTCTGCCTCAGAGGGGCCCTGCTGCTGCCGCTGGCTGTGCTGGGTCTCGGGGGCACCGCTGTCCTCCTCTCGTCCTCCTCGGCCCAGTCCTGGGGCCCAGAAGGCACAGGGACAAACTTGATCCTTTCGCTGATTGCTTCCTTCATCTTCAGAATCATTTCCTGGGCTTGGGGCTTCCTGAGCTTCCTGGGGTGTGGCTGAAATAGGCCTTCCGGGCCACCAGGTGAAGAGCGCGGCCTTGGAGGGAAAGAGCTTTCCTGCTGTGGACCCAGACTCATGCCACTCACCTGGTCCTCCTCCTCCTCTGGGCTACTGTCCTCCCCTTCAGTGACGGAAGGAGTGTCCACCAAGCGGGAGCCTTTAGGAAAATGTGCTTCTGTGGAGATCCCAATCCCAAGGGAATCACACCGAGTGCTTTTGCCCATCCCCAAAGGCCTGGCGGTCGTAGTTTCTGGGCCTGTGCTCGAGGGGCAAGGGCCCCCTGCACCACCCTGTGCCGCGGGCCGAACCTTCGCCGACGGAGGCCTCCAGAGGGGGCAGTCCTGGGGTGTGTCTGAACCCATCTGGAAAGGACTTTGCTGCCAGGCCTGTCCTGACAGCCTGGCTTCCACCGTGGATGAAAGCACCAGCTTCCGTTCTGCGGGCTCCGACACCGAGTCCCAGCTGGCTTGCTTGCCCAGCTTGTCCACCAGCTGCACAGAGTCGTTGTCCCCACCAATGCCACTGTCCTCAGAGCACAAGGGCGCACCCTGCATCCCAGGGTCCCCGTGGCCGCTCGCCAAGTTCTCCAGTTGCCCCAGAGCCCGCAGGAGGCATTCATCCACACCCCTCTTTGTGCTCAGCTTCTTTCCCAAGTGGCTCGCAGTGTCATGGTGGTAACTGCTGGAGCCCTCCAGGAAGCGGCCAGTGATCGAGGCCACCGTGCCACTGAGCACCAGCAGCTTGCTGACTGTGTACTGCAGAAGCTGTTGCAGGAGATCTGGCTGGTCCTGAGGCTCTCCTTTCCTCAACGGCCAAGCCAGATCATCCCGAACTTCCTGGAGGAGCATTTCTCCCTCCTTGGAGATCTCCCCCAAGAGCCGGTTGACCTCATCAAAGCATAGCAGCAGGAAGCTGACCATGGGCTGCAGCAGCTCTTGGGTCTGGGTGGCCTGATGGGTGATGGACAGGATTGCTTCATATTTGGAGATGCAGGTGTGGAGGTAGGTGTAGGCGTGCTGGTGGGCCTTCACCAGGGGCTCAGGGAAATCCACTTTGCCTTCAGGCTCATGAGCAGGAAGGATGGTCTGGCAGCAATGGCCCTGTTGGCCACACGTGTGGCATCTCAGCTTCCTTTGCTGGGTATTCCTTTCTTCACTCTCTTCCCCAGAAGAGACTGTCCCCTGTGACCCGTGGGAGCTCTGTGTCTTGGATGGAAGGTCCCGAGCCATGTGGCTTTGTGATTTGTCCAGCTGGGATGCGGAGATTCTGGTTTCTGGGGGCAGTCCTTCCATATCTTTCCCTTTGCCTGCAATGGGATCTCTTGTGAGCTGATAGAGACCTTCAGCTGGGCTTTGGGTCCACCTGGCCCTCGGCTGCTCCTCTGTCAGCCTCTGTCCCTGGGTCGGGTCTCCCCCAGAGTCATAGCAGGTGGAGTTTGGAAGTAGCAAAGGGATAGAGCATCTTCCACCGCCCCCTTGACGTCCCGGCAAAATTGCTTTGGGCTTTTTAAAAAACTGGATGCCACTCTTAGCAACGCTATTAACAACGTCATTGTGGGAAGGTGTACACCCCATGATGCCAGCTTGTAGTTATCTCCCACCCATAGTCTTCACAATTTTCAGAGAATCATCCTTGAAATAGGAACCAAAGGCAGCCTTACCAGTCGGTCCAGGCAATTTCCAGGCCAGAATGCTCTGAAGTCCATGGCGCCGGGTCCTCGGAACCAGCTTTCTTTACTTCCTTGGCCCCACGGTGTAGAGACAGTGGTGCTTGTGGTCTTGTTGCTCTATGTCTCGAACCCTCCGCTGTGAGGGAGCAATGGGGCAATTCTAAAGGACCTCAGTCTCGTGCACTACGCGCCTGCGTTCTGCTCGAGTCCTGACAGATGTGGATGGCAAGTGGAACTTTAAGCCTATTAGGTTAATCATGCACTAGCCAGTCAGCACTCACAGTGTGTTCTAATATAGAGCTTCTCAGCATTTACTATCTTGGGAAACGGATTATTTTTGCACGTGCTTATGCTTTTAATTCTGTTCAGACGCCTGCCGCATGAAACCTAGAGAAATGAGCCATAATTGCAAAAAGCTCTGGAAGAGACACATTTGTGGAAGAGAAGGGAGGGCTCGCAGGCTACAGATTCCGGCAGAGAAGCGACCTTCACAGTTTAATAAGGGCAACCCAGCCAAGTGTACTCCAACCTGCAATTATCAAGGAGACCCCAAAACACACAGTAAACAGTAATTGAAGCAATACGTTGTTGTTTGTGTGGCTTATACTAACTCTACAGCTCTAGTGCTAGAGAACTTCTCTAAATAAGACAGGGAATAAAGAAGGCAAGGTGGCTTTCCTTTACACTAGAAAAGTGAGTTGACAGCAGGGAGGACGTCTTCCCTGGTTTGGAGGGGAAAGCAGAGTAAACTCACTGCCATATAAAGCTCAAGGCTGGTCCCTGCGGAGCAGAGGGGCTCAGGGAGGCAATGCTCTTAAAGAAAGAGGCTTTTAATTAAATCTTTCTCATAGGAAAATAAGCCAACCTTAGGCAGTGGGGAGCTGTTTGGTCATTAGGAGTAGAACATTGGGGAAAAATGTATTTTCCTTTTCAAGCACAGCTTCTACACAATCTGAGCGTGGAGCTCTTGTCCATAGTGAAGGGTAGAGGCTGCCCATTTTAAAACTCCTTTTAAACTTGTAAAAAGTGCCACAAGTCTAGAGCAAGGAGTAGAGAGACTTGGGTTCAAATCCTGCTCCTTCTCCTTTTAGTTGGAGGAGCTTCCAAAGTCATCTACCTACCTTGAGGTAAGCCCATCTTTGGAATGGGGATAATGGTACCTACTTCACGGAGCCGTTGTGGGAATTAAGTTGATTCATGCTTGGTAAGTGCTTGGTGCAGTGCCTGGCCAATGATAAATTAAAAAAGAAAGAGAGAAAGGAAGAAAGGAAAGAAAGAAAGAAAAAGAAAAGGAAGAAAAGGAATTCCTTATTCCTTTCCCCCTGGCATCTAAGCCACTTATAATAATACAAGTCATAAGAAAATTCATGAATTAGCCCAGGACCAAGCCCCCATTCTTTCCTGAATTATCTGGAAATAATGCAGCCCTGGATCTGGGTTTTGGCCCTTTTGTGCGTGCAGAATGACCTTTGCTCAGCACACTGTTGCCTCAGGATTTCCTCACCGTGTCATTCCTCTGCTCTTAAACACACAATCCCTGTCATCTGCACCAGGAAGAGGGACTTTTACTGAACCATTTCTCATTTTTGCTGGTTGCTAATTTCTAATTTTCCTAATAGAAAAAAAAGATCGTATTGAGCATCTCCTGAAGGTGCTGAGATTGGACTTGATATTTGGGCTTTACAGCTTTCATTTTCTCTTCCAGAGCCCTGTACAACTGAGGAAAATAATCCTGTGGGTGTCTGGATGGTTTCAGAACCAGAAAGGACGGAGGGACACCTCCTGCGCCGTGAGCAAGCTGGAGACGGGCTACTGGGGCTGTGTGCAGAGCCTGAGCCTATTACAGCCCTATGCCCCAGAGTGCATAATTAATAAAGTTATCTGATCTGTTTATTTGAGGCCGAACTCATGGGAAACACAAAGCTGACTCAGTGCCTGGGGGCAAGCTGTGTTAGGCATCAAGAAGTTGTTTCATTTGTCATGGTGCTAGGCTGGCTCAGTAAACAAGTGTGCCATGTGGGAAGATGCTTCTTTCTTCCATTTAACAGAGCGGAAAGCTCATCTGAAGGGTTCTTTATGTAAATTCTTCTCCTCTCGGGATTTGGGGCCCTGGTCAAATCATCTTTATGAAAAACTTTGATTTAAGTGGCTAAAATTATGCACAAACCAATGATCAAAATAAAAGTATTTGCCTGGAGGATCAGCTGTCAGGTAGCTCTGTGCCTTGTAGAATGGTTTTCTTGACTACTCCAAATAATTTAAGAAGCTCTTTATTCATTGCCACTCATTTTTCATCAAGACTAACTTTTGTTTTTCTTTCTTTTCAAACTGAGTTTGCCTCAAATGAGAAAAAGAATTACTTTGAGTGGAAATGTAAGATGACCCAACTACTTGAGAAACTTGTTGACAGTTAAGCAAGCACCCATCTTATGACCCATCAATTCCACTACTAAGAATTTACCCAAGAGTATTGAATACATAGGTCCTCAAAGGGACTAGTACAAGAAAATTCCTACTAGCTTTATTCATAATACCCTCAAATTGGAAATAATCCAAATGTCTGACAACAGGGAAATAAATAAATTTGGCATAATTGTACAATGGAATACTTCCCACAAATAAAAGGAAGAATCTACCGAAACATGTAACAATATAAATTTTAAAATTATTATGCTGAGTGAAAGAAGCCAGGCATAAAGGAGAACATATGGAATAATTCCATTTATATAAATTTCAGTAACATGCACAACAATCTATAGTTATAGAACTCAGAAAAGTGGCTACTGCTGGGAAGAATTATTAACTGGATATGGGCATGAGGGAATTTCTTAGAGTGATGGAAATGTTCTATATCTTGACCTGGGTAGTGGTTACATATATATGTACAAATTCCTTGAGTTGTACACTTAAGTTGTGTACTTTATGTATGTTAACACACACACACACACACACACACACACAACTAAAATGCAGTACTGTATGCTCTACTTTGTACCTAAAAGAGTCCCAGCTAAAATGCTCTTGATCTTGGAAAAGGGTCCCTGTATTAGTTGCTTATTGTTGCATAACAAATTACCTCAAAATTTAGCAGCTTAATACAGCAAACATTGTCTCATTATGAAACACTATGTTTTTGTGGGTTGGGAATCTGGGAGCAACTCACAGGGTGGTTCTGGCTAAGGGTCTTTTATGAGGTTGCAGTCAAGACATTAACCAGGGTTGCAGTCATCTGAGGGCTTGACTGGGGCTGGTTGACTTGCTGCCAAGGTAATAGATCATTCACATGACTATTGACAGAAAGTCTCAATTCTTTGCTTGATGTCTTTAGGAGTCATCAGTTCCTCATCGTGTGGACCTCTCCACAGTCCTGCTTAAATGTCCTCACAACATGGCAGCTGGCTTTCCCTAGAGTGAGCTGTCCAAGAGAGAGCAAGAAGGAGGTCACTCTATTCTCATCTCAGAAGGCATATGCTTTCACTTTCTCCACATATTATTCTTTGGAAGACAGTCTCTAAGTACATTTCAGGCTCAACAGAGAAATTAGGCTTCACATTCAAAAGGTCACCAAAAATTTAAAAATCTGGACATATCATTCATATGTCAAACTGTGACATCCAAAAGATAACTATATACAGTAAATATTAACTTACTAAAGGCTCATCTTTGCCCTTCAGCATGTTAAATAAATTCTACCCCATTTTTAAAATTATATGGCTTTAAACTAATTGATCAGTCAAAGAAGGTTCTATTGTGGCATCAATTTTGAGCCACTACTGTAGGGCATTTCAACAATCTGATAAGATGTCTTATTTCTCAAGTTCTGTCAGTGTCACTAGTGAGCATTCCTGAACCTTAAAAGCTAAGAAACATTTCCTACTACCCAAGGCCTTGGGTGTATCTGGTCCTTCAGATCTGAAGGGATGATCTTTGCACACAATTCCCTGATCCAGATGTGGGATAAACAGACAACACGTAACTGTTGTAGTGAGCTATCAGGAAAAAGGAGCTAATGTTTGTGTTCCAGGTGCGGTGTTAGGAACTTTACATATATCATTTCACTAGCTCACCTCTCCTGCTTTGCTGAGGAGAATCATTACCCATCATTAAAAAATTAACCTGGTTATTGTTATATATGTCAGTGCAACCCAGAGTTGCTTATGTGATAAGCAATTTTTTTTAAGATTTATTTATTTACTTAGAGAGGCAGGGGCAGAGGGAGAGAAAGTCCAACATGGGGCTCAATCTCACAACTCTGAGATCATGACCTGAGCTGAAACCAAGAGTCAGACGCTTAATGGACTATGCCACCCAGGTGCCCCCCATGTGATAAGCAATTCTATCAGAAATCACTATGTGACCTTCAAGTGTCTGTCCTAAGTGGCTTCTCTTTTAGTGATCACATTAGAAACCCTATTTTTACCCCATCTTCATATGTATGGCTTATTGTCTTAGTCAGTAGCCACAGACATTTTATGGTATCTCTGGAGGTGGATTGCTTAACTCTGAGATGTCTCTGAGGATCCACCAAAATAAATTTCATCTATACTATGTAGCCTATATTTGAAATCAAAGTATCCTAAATGTACCTTCCAAATTTGGCAAAAATTCATCCAATTTTTTTTTACATGATAAGAGAAGCTGTTTTATTGCAAAGACTTAATTCTTATCTATAACAAACAGTGCCCAAATCTCAGTGACAGCACATGGAGAGTTATTGCTGCCCACAGAATGCTAACGTAGAAGTTCTTAGTTGAGCTGCTGTCTTAAATAGCTCTCCTTCAAGTGGAAATCCGGGCCCTTCCACGGGGAAACATCAGCAGTTTCTTTCTTTCTTTTTTTAAAAGAATTTATTTATTTATTTGAGAGAGAAAGAGAGAGAGAGAGCATGAGCAGAGGGGAGCGGCAGATGGAGGGGGAGAGGCAGACTCCCTGCTGAGCAGGGAGCCCTACACAGGACTCCATCCCAGGACCCTGGGATCATGACCTGAGCCACAGGTGGATACTTAACCAACTGAGCCACCCAGGTGCCCCATGTCAACAGTTTCAATACATGACCTCCAAGGCAGAAGGGGAAGAGTGTGGGGAAGGCATGCCATATACTCAACTATCTTTGCTCAGAGTTGACACCCATCATTGCTGCTCACATTGTAATGTCTAGGACTTATTCCATGGCCTCACTTAGATGCAGATGGGCTGGGAAATGTCATCAGTCCCTGGCAGGACAACCACTTTCCAGCAACATCTCTATACCATGGAAGGGGAGCCCCAAATTTTGGTGGCCAAGGAGTCTCCTCTGCCACACCCATATATCCAGATGAGGACAGAGTCTGAACAGTTTCAGATAATTTGCTCAGGTCATATAACTAGCATATAGCTGATGTGGGATTTGGAGCCCGGACTCTCGGATTCCAAAGCTGGTGTTATTCCTATGACATTTTTTGGATAAGATATCTGCATTTCAAGCTTCACTTAGGATTGATGGTTCATCTCCTGTTGGACTTTTCAGTCACGAACTCGGATTCTGGCCCCACCAGGAGGAAGCTTGCAGGAGTCCATGAGAAGTAACTTCAGATTTGCTCTGCAACCCAAAGAAGACCTCCAGGTTGCCCTTTTAAACCTTCTCTGTGTCTGACTAATGATGACTTGGCTGGATGGTCATTGATTTTTATTTTGTCCCTGGATGGGGACTTTCAGATAACCTCTAGCTCTACATTCTAGATCCCAAAGGTAGTCCCATGCCCTGGTACCTCTGACTTCTCAGCCCAGATTCCAGGTCTCTGGCCCTCAACTGGTTCACCTCCTAGGATGCTAGCTAGCCAGAGCGGTGGTTGGGGCCAGGGAATTAAATATGTAAAATAGCTTCATATTAACTACTGAATAAAGTCACTAACAGAGGAAGACGAAGACTGGACTTCTATTCCCAGAGGTATTTTAAAGTAAGAGATGTTGATTTCAGCAAAAATGTTTGCATTTCATAAACATGCTTGCATTTCACAAGCATTGTAATTTTATTTTTGCTTATTATCTTCCACTCTTTTCTTCTACTTGTATATATATTCTGCATAGCTGTTAATCATATTGTACATGCCATTATATTATCCTTGTTCACTAAAAACACATTATAAACATTTTCCATGATATAGTTTCAAAATACTTAAGGGAAAATCCCTGTTGTATATAATCCAGTCAACAATCTTTCACTTTAACAAAAAGATAAATAGCAGAGTCCGTAGGTATAAATCAAAGTACAATTTGTGAATTTGTTAACTCTTCTTCCCCCATGCAGATGTTTCTCAGGGAGAAGACCTTCACAGAAATGCATATAGACCTAACCGCGCATACCTCTTCTGTGGCGTAGGTGGATTGGAGAAGAGAGAGGGTGACCAGATGTACCGGATGTGTCTGAGAAGCCCATGCCTAGCAAAGATGAACATCTTGATAGTAGTGAGGTGGGGACTTAAACCTCATGTCTGGCTGACTCTCAGGCTCCTGTTCTTTCTGTATTTAGGTTATCTCTATTTTAAATAATATGAAATATCCTTGTAGGTAAATCTTTGACCACATTTGTGATTATTTCCTAAGACTAGTTTCTGGATATGAATTGCTTAGCCAAAGAATATAATATTAAAATAATTTAATTGACTTAATTTTTCTAGAATAGTTTTAAGCTTAC